GAATAAAGAAAAATGAATTAGTAAAAATCGGTAATTTCAATATCGGCTTGAGATATGAAACTGATATCCAGCAAATTTTCTACTTCTTTTCTGATATTGCTCCAAGAATGATGAAAAATTTTTGCGAGGAATTCACTTAGTGATAGAAATACTCAGAATACCGCGTGAGTTTGTTAATGGATGTATTTCTGCCTGAGGCAAAATTCGAACCTTGACACTCCAGGCACTAATCTGAGATAGAACAATTCATGTTTCGACGATATTAATAAGTTAGTGATTAGCGCTTACTTTTTCTGCTTCTTATCTAGTTGCGCTGATTATTGGTGCCAATAGGAATTAGGATTAAAATAAAAAATTGGGATTAAATAAAATCTATTCTTTATTATGTGGCACTTTTTGCTGTTGTCAGTTTGGACACCAATTCTATAATATATCTTTAAACTGATAATAGTAGAGATAATTGAATAAAGATAGGCAAATCTACGTGTAAAACTAAAATCCTGGTTCGTAATTTTTCATATTACCATTAACTATTGGAATAAGCTGCGTTTTCTAACATCCTTTGAAATAAACTAAGCTAAATTCATATTATTTAATACAAACACATTTTCAATTTTTCCAGTTTTTAATAAATAATATTGCTAATATTTTTATTCAAATTTTCTTTTATAATATTCTGTTTTAATTTTAAATATTCTTTTTTCTTTTCTGTTTCCCTTTTTCTTTAAGCAGTTAGTCCCCTTCACTCGCATTGATTGTCTTGTACTTAAAAAATAAAAATAAATTTGTGGCAGCTAGTCACCTAGCGATAAAAAAGGCTTGCCAGTGGAACTAGAACTATATTGTGAATATTGTAGATTTGTCGATCTGATACAAGCCAATCTCGTGTTTAATGTTGTTAAAAGTGAAGTCCTATAAAAGTGATAATGATAATAGTAATAATCAAGTGTGATCAATATATGTTTATTTATTACCACAAATAAATGCCTCTGAAATAAGAAATTAAAAATAAAAAATTAATTTCGAGGAATTATTCATATTAAATATGAAATAAATTTATACGATAATTTCGATTTTTACAATTTTTCGATTTTTAATTGCATTTTCGCTGTTAAATGGAGAATTTTATTTTAATTTTGCTTAACACAAAATTTATCACCGGTATTATTCATCATTTATCATTTCGATCCAGCGTTGGTTAGTAGCAACTTTTGCTGATAATGAATGAATGGTGAATTCTTACACCGCTGTTAAAAAAAATTTTTTCGTTTTGACTAAAGCAAGGTCATCGCAAGGTTTCCTTTGTTACCCGGTGTTCAACGTCATTATTTCGATATTATTTCCCTTTACTCGACCTAATTCTTTAATATAGTTTACTAGCTACTTTGCTTATTATTTGTTTTTCCTTATTTTCCCTTTATTTATTTGTTTCTTCCTTCCAACATTAATTAATTAATTTCGTTATAATTATCAAATATAAATATTTCATAGTTATTCTTTCATGTTATGATTTTTTTAAGAGTAATTTTTATGAGTTTTTTTATTAATTTTGCTATTTTGCTACAGTGGAAAATAAAATTTGTTTGAAAGAATTAATAAAATTATCATTAAATATGGGAAGCGAATCAAAAATCGAATTTAAAATATAATATAAAATTTTCATTAGAGAATAGCTTAAAAGATTAGATTATTGGAACTAAAAGTTAATAGAAATCTGGCAGAAAAGAAAAATTTAGTCGAACATTTTTCAAAATGAAGAATTGCAAAAAAAAGATTGCTGAGTGGAAGAACTGACCCTCGGACTGATGCAATATATTACAAAAAAAACATATAGAAAATAATTCTCGAGTGTTTTGCTTGCCAGTTTGTAACTTTCATTGCCACAATTCCTTTGCAATTTTATTTTTCGTTTTCTAATAGCATTAACCATTTCCGATTTGATTAGCTCTACTGGCTATCAAGATCAGATCCCTTCGTCAAAAAATCGCTTAGGGATTGAGGCACAGGTGGACACGCGGCGCCAATCGGAAATTATTTATTAAAATATAACGCAAAATTTTTATCGTAACAACCATTTTTACAAGTAATTTTTCTGATATTTTAAATTTTATTTGGTTTGAGAAGAAAAGGTTTGAATCTATAGTTTCTATAAGTTTCGTCTATTTTGTAGTATGCCATTATCCAATCTAATTTTAAATTTACAATCTTTTTACTGTCCTTTTAGCATTTATTTATTTGTTGTTATCGATATATGTGTTCGTAATATGACGATTTCTAAAGATCTGCAAAATTACTGGATTTATTCATTTTAGCGAAAGCAACACATTATGGACGAAGGATTTGAAGAAGAGTGGTCATTACCAGCAATGACCATGCTTGCTTTTCGTCATTCAAATAACTCTAATTCACCACTGAAAATGCGGAAATTCAGTAATGAAGGAGTTAGTTGTAGATTATATGATTTTTGAAAACTTTCGAAACCAATATCCTCTTTGTTTTATGAGAATTCTTGGCTAAGCTTGTTGCGCTAGTTTGACCCAGCAAATTTTGCTAAAGAATCATTTAGAAATACAGGTGGATGTGTAGCACCACATATATTGCCGGAGAATAATCATTTAAAAATCTCACTGTGGCAATCATCCTTTAAGTATTCTGCCAGTATTTCTTAAATATTCCTCATCTTCCAATGCCACTCTCACTTTTTGTTTGGGTGATTGCCACAGTGAGATTTTTTCGCTAGAGTCAATTAGGTATAAAATAGGATTCCTAGAACAAATCGGATTTTACTTTAATGACAGGTTCAATCCCAACAAGAAAAAAGAACAAAAAAAGAAATCCTGTGTTTAAATTATTTAAAAAAAATATCACTCGACCTTATTGACCATAGGTCGTCCATGAAATTCTAATAAATAGCTATCATGGATTACAGATTTTTTTCCAGCAAATGAAGGATTGTAATCATGCAACTGTTTAAAGGCAGTTTTGCATATAAATTATTTGCTAATCGTAAAAGTCAATGATTTGGCTGGAAATGTAAGAGATGGTAATAATTTTAATAAATGAATAGACCATGGCAGAACAGTCTAATTTTTTGAGACGTTAAATAAATATCTAATGGTGAGTAATTCTCTTTTGAATTTTTATCACCCGAAAATTCTCTTAAAATTTAGAGTAAAATAAGAAGTTTCGAGCAGAAAGTGTAAATTTCTGAAAATTCTAACTTTCGTCCCTTATTTTTCCCGTTGGACTATTAGTGATTAATCAGAAGAACACAGTAGGTTATTATACGGCATTTTGCTGTCGATTCTTTCATCTATATTTTTAAAGGGCTTTTTTTTAAATCGACGGACTATTAGGCGATATTCATTGCAGCAAATAGTTGATTATGTTGGTAAAACTGATTAATAGATTGCTTTATCTGACTTTATTATGTTGTAACGAAATATGAGGCCATTATCTAACTCGTCCTAAATTATTCTAAATTTTGTCTCGGTTTACCATTCTTCTCTATTCTTCTAAAAGCACACCATTTTTGATTTATTTACTTATTTACCATTCACTAGTAGGATGAACGAAATCTTCTCGCTGGCGATTCACCTTAAGGATAGAAGAACATGTGGTGTGACTTGGGAACATCATCTAGACTGTATAAACATGATGAAAAGAAAAATTTTTTTACAATTTAGGAATTCATTCATCTTCATTCGAACAGTTATCAGGATCATTCTATAAATTATTGTCTCAACTATTTTTTCAGTGAAAGTTTCTTTTTAAATAATTCTTAAATTTATAATTTTTAAATTTTCCTTTAAATTTCTTTTGTGGTCTTTTTAATTTTATCGCCATAATTTATAAAGCAATTGAAGTAAGCACCGGTTGTTAAATGCATAAAATTATTTTCATAGTAAAATCACAAATAGCTCGCAGTTATAGCCAAAGAGCAGTGATACATGTTGCTAGTAGATAGACTATATGATCGTTATTGCATTGGTAATAGCACTGCTTTCTCCGTTTTCTTCTTCTAATAGCTCTCACTATTACTGGTTACAATTTTTAAATTTTCTGCTGGCTGCAGAAGTAAGATCTCTCCAAGTTGCTATTCATTTTCTCCGCAAAACTATCATTTTATGCTATTTTCTAGCGGCAATATGCGTTCAATTTAAAAATTTCCCGAAATTTATCTAATAATATTGAGGGATATAGGGATATACGTTGTGGCTTATCTTCATTCTCGTCCATATATGGATTCGTAAGTAATATCCAGCAATATCCGTGAATATTTAATTTAGGTTTTTAAATTGTTTTCCCTTTAAATGAGCAAATTTTTGGATGACATTGAATCGATGATATTAATTTGAATTATGATTGTAAGAAAATTCAATTGTCAGAGCAAAGAACAGAACATTATTAATGATCTCGTCAAAATTCCGTACAACTTCAAATAATCGGAATTTATTTTGCATGGATGGATCTACACAAAATGCTTATTTAGGGTTTCAATTCATGCATTTCGTAAGAAATCGATCAAATTAAAATATTATTAAATATTTAATATTTGTTCATCAAATACAGTTTGGTAATAGAGTAATATAGTTCAGTTGTCTGCTTATGCAATGAGAGAATTTTATTTTTCTAACATTTTTGCCTTGCAGTCTTAAAAGTTTCAAAAAAGATAAAGTGACCTGTCTTACTGTAAGTGAAACTGACTTACTTAGCGAGAAATGATGGCCGATAATGACTGAAGAGATTCCATTAATTAATGTTTTTTACTGAAATCACCTTTCCATATTTTCCATGAAATTATATAAACCCCGAGAAATTGCTTGTTTCACTGATGCGCGTAAAGATCATGAATATATAGGAAAACAGTAGTAGATATAAGTCAGAGCAGTGAATATTATTATATTTTTTATTTCTTTTTCTGAGTTGTATCAATCTATGATAGTTTTCAGATAACTCAGATCTGCTCACCATCGAAAGCAATTCTTAGTCAAGAACGAATGTCACCCATTAGTATCGATTCAGGATTTGGATCTAGCACTTCTTTTCCTTCGTCACCTGAAGTCTCCATTGATAGTTTAAGCTCATTGTATCCATCAGATTCGACAATATACCTTAAAAAATTCCAAAGGAGAAATACAAATTTTGTTAATAATTCTTCTCTTCCTTGCATATTTCCTCCCATTCCTTCTCTTTTAACGTCTCAACAATTTTCAAATAAAATAAATTTAAAATCGACTACTCCTGATTTATCATCTTTCGGTGAACAATTATCAATTGAATGCATAGGGGAACGTCCTTTTAAAGAAGTATTATCAACATCACCAGACAACGACATTATAATAGATGGCGTTTTGGAGCCTGTCGCTGAGTGTTCGTCAACACCATCATCATCATCAACCGCATATTCTTCAGCTGCTCTCTGTTCGAGGTCATATTGCAGATGGGACAAATGTAATGAATATTTTTCATGCGACAATGACCTTTACGATCATGTAAAAAAGGTGGATCAAAGAAAATTTTTTGATGAATTAGAATGCAATTAATAGTAATTAATTAATGTTGTTCAAAAAACTGTTATTTATCCTAATTACAAATTTTTCGATAATTAAAATAGTTCGTTTGATTAATTAATTAAATTTTAGTATCATTTAGAGGTTTTAAAACCTCAAGGAAGAGATAATATTGCAAATCGTTTGCGTAGTCCAATCAAATTGCGTGCAAAAAATTTCCAATGTCTTTGGAGTAATTGTGCTATGAAATTGAGTCGTGGTGATTTTCAAAAACAGGTAATATTTAACTGGATTTCATTTGATACATCTAACTTTTTGTCCACTTCAGTCTTTGCTAATATTAATTGACTAATAGTAATTAATTTGACGAGATATTTGAACGGTACGTCTGATTACCACCATGAATTCGATTGCCATTCATTGGCTGTGACTGTCTGCTGGTAAGCAAAATCAAATTTATCCTGGTGTATTCTACAGTAGGGCTATCCTAGCTGCAAATGAAAAAGATAGGTTAAAGTCAAATCTAATTATTTTTTCTTTCCATCAGTGTTTTCATTTTTTAAGAAAATGTTTGCAGATTTCAAATATAAAAATTTTCGAGGTTTTTTACTTTATTTCTTCTTCGCTGCTTATAGTACACATGGCTCGAGGATCATTTTGCGACTCGACATGCAGGAAAAGCACAACCTTATCCTTGTCTCATGGATGGATGTTCAATGAGGTTTGCATCAAAACGTGTACTTGAGGATCATCTTCGAATTGGACATCGGAAAATTAAGGGTACAATTATTTTTGCAATTTTTAAGGAATTGAAACTTCAAATTTGTGAAATCCTAAAATTTTTCTTTCACTATTTTAATAGGTAATAAACGGTTATTGCCCACTATTTCTAGTAAGATTATTTCGTCTGTTTTATAGTGTGATAAAAAATTTTTACTAGAAAAAATGCCAGTAGAAGTAAATATGGGTCTCTAGCACCAGTCGGATTTTTTTTCAAGTTTATTTTTATTGGAAATATATTGTCTAAACCTTAGCTATTTCTATCGTCCTTCATCGAACTCTGGCCTTTCAGCGTGATGATCTAAGCCACTAATTATCTAGACAGATATCCTGACTTTTAGAGCACTTTTTCAGTGAAGAAGGTGCGTTCAAAAGAAGTCAAGCACAGTCCGTATCGATGGACTCCATTACCCTATTACCTTCCTGGTAAAGTTTGGTTCTTTATTTTTTAAAATAAATAAGATTCACTCAAAGATTTTGGAGAAAATATCTGAAAATCATAGAAAGAGAACGAATTATTTTTGCAAATTTAGCGAAATTTATGGAAATTTTGCTGAAAATAAAAAGGCTGATGATCTTTCTCCCTCCAATCTCCAATAATGATCGCTTGATAAAATTTAATATTCTTATCAAATAGGGATATTCGATTTTTTTTGTTGCATTAAATTTCAATTTAATAACTGGCTGCAGATTATAAAAATGATTTTCTGGACCGATCAACGGATGAATGGATTCTAATGCGTTTAAGACATTATGAAGCAACCAAAAATGCATGTTTCGTTCCCAAACCTCCGAAGGTACCCCGCGGTGGTGCTAAATATCGTAAGCAGTGGAGGATGTTAACATATACTATTTGCTCAGTTCCACCTAAGTAAATTCTTATATTACTTCGAATAGTATTTATCTATTGCTTAGAACGATAAGATCATTTTTCCAGCCAGCAAATCACTTAGGTACAGAAAGCACTCGTGATATTTGATTTTCAGTTTTATGATTGCCGGTATATTTTTTCTAAACGAATGGGATTTTTTCTCAAAAATTTTCAGCCAAACTCAATAAAAAAGAATGCCAAAGATAGGAAACTGCCAGTTAAGCATTGACCCAAATATCGCCAACCAAATAAACGATATGTCCATTTGTAAATTCACCCAATCGCTTTTTATGCTCGCAAATAAATTTTTTATTAAGCGATGAATATATTTTTTAATTATTAAAAAAGTTTTTTTAAACTGGTATTTAATTCTTTCGATCTCATAATATTATATTGACGATTTTCACGCAATTGTTGTCTCAGGATTTATTCGTTGAAATCGTATTCGTTGGAAGGAGTGATTTGACCTTTCAACTAGTGGCTTTCGCTTAAATGACATAACGCCCATTTCTCATAGGTATTTGTTTAGACTCAGTGCAAAAGGATTTAATGTTCGCATTTCTTTTGACTGAGAATATATAAGATTTTCCAAAAAGGCATGTTTGTTTTCCACAATGACCAAAAATCTTTCAAAGTAACTAATTATTGAAAATCTTCAAATTTCTTTGAAATTATTTTTACGTCATTCCAGTTTATGAAAACCATTTCATATTTTTCAGCGACTCTAAGCTAAATTTATGGAATTCTAGGGATGTAAACTTTAGGTAGCGAAGCGTTAAAAATTATGCACTTTTCTGGCTAAGGCTCGTTCCATCCATGAATATTTTTTACGGAACATTTTTCCTCGGTCTTTCTGCTAATTCTCATTTGTTTCGCCGTCATTAAATTTTTTTTACTATGCTTGCGGTCAATATGTTTACTATGTGTAGGTTTAATTGCCAGCCATAAATTTGTATATTGCTTCTTCGCTGCTTGCCACAGCGATACATCTCTACTAATACTACAAGTTTAGTAATTATAACTATCAAGACATTAATACTGTATCATTATTATCATTATTACTATTTATTGTTAGTATAATCACCATATCCGTTTATTATTTCTATTATCATTACTGTATTGATAGCGCCAAGACCACTATTCGGTCATATATTGTACATGTTAACATATTCAGTTATATGTTAACATATTCACTGCCTGACCATATTTGCTTTATCTTAGCTCAATTTTATATCTTTCATATTGCAGAAGTACCATAGACCGCACATTATTCCCTTTTACCTCGAAAGTTTCAAGTTTTAACATATAACTGATAAAGCATCATAAAAGAATCGTAAAATCTAATATTACCTATTTTCGATTTCAAGTTCACCATGACAAAAAAGCTCGTCCACTTATGATTCATAGAGAAATATCGCCGTACCCGCAATATATAACAAACAAATAATTCACGATCACCCTCGACCCTTTCATTAGTATTAATGAACCAGATCGCCGTAGTTTCGAAATTTAATTTTTTTATAAATATGTCAAATTGTAAGCAATCGAAATAAAGCAAAAACTAAACAACCCTGACATTAAATTCATCCTAATTAAATATTTATAGAAAACTGAAAAATGAAAGGTATTATGTTTGGCATCAGACCACTTTAGGAAGCGTTCTATCCTTGTATCCGCTGGAGCCAGCCTAACCAGTAATGGTGAGGGCTGCTAGAAAAATGAAGAAAAATGAAGTCTGTAGTATTAGCGATAAGGTTTATGATCTAAAAAATGTTCTCAAAAAAAGAGAAAGAGAAAAGTAGTTTTTCATTAAATGTAGGTAGTTTTTCATTAAATATTTCCATAAATGCAACAGTGCACGACCACAGAAAAAAAAACTCATTTTTTGACAAGGTTTTCACAAAAAAGAGAAATATCAAAGAAAAAACTAGATCATGAGTTTCGCAATGGAAGATATAATCACGGCTGCCGAAACATGTCCTTGCACCTATGAGACGTTCTGTGAATTAAATGGATTCATCACTGACCGCGGATTTAATACTGTGCTTTGCTGCACATACGGTGGAAGTTTAGGTCTATCTTCTAGTTCTTTGTATTCCAGAGTCATATCTTTTGGTATCTGTAAAAAATCTCCGTAAAAAAAACATTCCGAAGGATTTGTAATGTGTCAACTGATTAAGATTTTTTTTTTGAGTTCAACACAATAATAAAGCTCGTCTAACTATCGAGCCACTGAGTCAAGAAATGCCGTCCCACACGCAATATATAACAATGTATAATAAATAATACATAACAAATAATTAATGATTCAACGATTCACCCCCGACTACTCGTTAATGTTAATTCTATGAATAAGACGAAAAAATTAATGAAGTTAGCGGTAAATTTACAAAAAATTATTCTTTAAAATAAAAATATTTCAACAAGCAAGAAAAGAAACTGAAAGTATAGCATATGAAATGAATCATAATTAAATAGTCCAATTTTCACCAATTTTCATCCAGTAGTTTTGTAAATTATACAAATTATGTACTTTACAAAGTTCTTTATTATTACATGCCTTGGTAATTTTTGGAAAAATAAATTCATTTTGAAAATTGCATAATTTATGAGCATAAATATATGTAACTTTGGAAAACCTTTGTAATATTTTATCATCAAGACATTTGAATAGATTAGACCTTAATAAATAATCGCTATTCCCTTTGATTTAAAAAAATGCGAACCTTTCGCCACTGAGTCGGATCAAACACATTATAGGAACCCCTTTCAAACACTGACGTTTGTTCCTTCACGACTCCATATTGCGACCTAGTTAACCATACGCACTGAGTTTTATGGAATCGCCAATCCCTACCATATCTAAACAATATGTGAAATTATTGTTAAAAATAATTATTATAAATGAAATTGTAGTAAAAAATAAATAAATAAAAAATCCACAGTCGATAACTAACAATTCATTAGCAGCTGCCATTTGATAAATTTCACCAGGGCAATTATAAAAGAGGTAGAACAACACATCCTCTGACAGCTTATTCAATTTTATACCGGGTAGTTTATCCCGGATCGACAAATTTGTCATGTATTCATCCGGTACCTGAAGACTTTAATATCAGAGAGCGTCTTTCATGATTTCAAAACTTAAGAAATTAAAACTAAAGAAATTTAATATACCATTATTTCTAGGTCCCACAAATAAAATCCAAATAAAAACTAAAAATAACTAAAAATTAAAAAATGGCTAAATTAGCTAGATCGAAAAATCAAAAAAAAACAAAATATTGCAATAAGGCCAAGAGTAACCAATTTTAAAAATTAAACAAAAATTTAAAAATTAGAGGTTAAAAATAGTAACGTTTAAAAATCTATTCTGGAAAGAATATTACAGCGTGAAAGAAAGAAAGACTGGTCACGAAAGAAGTTGATTAAAAAAAAGAAAACTAAGTACGGCGAGATCAAATTGACGCTCAAAGGTGACCTTTGTATCCATATCTTGCACTCTACAAGAAACATCAGACCAAGGACCAGCGAAAGTGGCATAGACATTTCTTCTATAAAAAGAAAAATGGGCTAGAGAAGTCATTAGTTTAATCATTGCATACTTACTCAAAAAGAATCAAAGTAGTAAAATTTATATGTAGTAAATAAACAAATATAGATGGAAAAACGAACTCAGGTGCATTAAGGTTAAGTCCAAGATTGGTTAAATCATGTCCAAGAGCAAGCCCAACAATTTGCGGATCAAGTTCAATTGCCCGCAAGAACGTCAAGAGACCTGCCATACCAAATTGATCAGCAAGCATAGTCGGCGGAATGTTTTTCACCAAACCTGGAGAAAATTCGATTCATTTCTAAAATTCTTTGCCTAAAAAATGGCATAATACTAGATGGTCCTTAATTTATTCTTAAGCCTGATTATTATTGTTTTTAGCTTTCATATCCATCAAAATACAAATTTATTTACAAATTTAGACTAGGTTTAAAAGATCAAAGTGAAGAATCTTTAAACAACAAAAAAACGAAATAAGATAAAAATATACCATCGGGTGATGTTATGATGCCAAGTTTTTCAATATTCGACCTGTCGAGGTACCTTGCGTCTTGTACAACGTTATCGGAATTTCCACTCTTCAACTAAAAGATATAATTAAATAATAATTGACACGCAAATATACTAATTTTTGCCTTCGCACATAAATTCTCGAAGCTTCAAAAACATTTTATGCGAAAAAGAATCACTATAGATTACAACTATCAACCATAAACTTTCTGATTAAAATAAATCTAGGAGAAAAAAAATTACCTGACTATGAGTAGATTCAAGATGCGTTGCTCCCGGAAGTGCAGGAAAATCTTCGTTTTGTATATGAAACTCAGAATTACCACTTGACCCTTCGCCAGCTCGCATTAAATTGGCTACAAAAAATAAGCAAATAAATAATCTTTGTAAGATATTGTAAAAATTGATCTTTTAAAAAATATTCCATAGATCTCAAAGTTAATTAAACAGAACAGCCAGCAATCACAACAAAAATAATTACAATAACAGTGATACAGGTAGCATTACCACAAGAACTTTGACGACTATATATCTGAAAAAATTATTCAAAAACAGTTGAATAATATATCTAGACTCACTTTCGTGACGTAAAAAAAACGAAATCAGTCAATGATAAAAAATTGAATTGAAAATTAATAAAATTAAGAATTAAATGTATTAATCTATACCTTAAAAATTTATATTTGAATAACGAAGATTATCCTAGCACTTAAATTTAATCCTCTCAATTATTTCTTTAATTATCTTATTTTACAAAAATAATAACTTTCAGCAAATCTCGCGAGTCAAATGAACTCAAATTCGAAAATATAAAAATAAAGAGAATCAAACAATTGCAAAAATAGATAACCCCAAGCTTAATGCTGTTATTAAAGACTAGTTAAATGTAGGAATCCCTTGCATCGAATTCAATTAATATCCTTTCCATTCACTCATACCTTTTGCTCTTTTACTGAATTTACTTCTCCACAAAATCTATATGATTCTTCCTGAACAACTTCAACTTCCTGTCATGCTCATCCGACATCCTTCCGACTCTAATTTTTACAATTCTGCAACTTGCAACTGAAAGTGAAACGAAAATACACCAAGATAAAGCCGCGGTGACATTTAAAATGCAGACGAAGTGTTTAAAACTCCTACTACTGGATTATATGAGAATTTAAAGCACGTTTAAAGAAATATTAAAGAAATATTTCACTGGGCTTGGAAAGATTTTCATAAAACGTCACAGGTATCGAGATACATTAAACAACCTAAAGATGGAAATTAGCAAGCAATGATAGATTCTTAAGGAAAATTAGTGTATTGTACCAAAAGAATAATCAGATTTCGACAGCACACTAAGGTTAATGCAATATGATATACCAAGCTTAACTACGGAAATATTACTACATGACAGAGCGTTAAAGGTGATTTTGGATCATGTTGGGTTATAAAAGATTCTATTAAATGAAACATGACATCTAAGGAATCGAAGAAATTAATAACAATGTTACTAATAGGCTTTCGTGGAATTTTAGAAGCAAGGGATTTTGAAGATTGGTAAGGGACTATAACAAAATGAAGTTAGGGATGCAAGGGGGGCTTTAAAAAAAAAATAAAGAGCTATATAAAATTAAAAAGAATATCACTAACACTGGGATAAAATAGGGCTTTAGAAATGAAGTTCTGGAAAAGAATAATAGGACTTGAAAGGAGTAACGAACTCTTAAAATAGTGTGGAATGGAGCTATGACAAAATTTGGTCAACCTTAGAAAAAAAGATGAGTCTTTTTGCCGGCCATAATAACATCGTAAATCATAAAAAATAGAGGTAGATGCGATTAATGAATCATTCGGCTTTAAGACATAAACGTATTTCATCCGGATTTCATTTCAGTCTCAAAACTATTGTACGACAGCCAGTGTAAGTATATCCAAATTCGCAACACAATTCCGCAAGTCAACATCACCAGTTCTCATCCATCAATTCACCTAAAAAGGATAAATTCCGAACTTCTATTTTTTATATTTTTTGTCCTTACCTATCATCTGTCCTTTTACTTTAATAATCAAATTACTCTGCCTGGAAGGATGTTGCTTAGCCTGATAAAATCGCATCAAAGATGATTCTTTAATGTAAATCGACCAAAAGTAAAATAAGAATAATAGAACAGGACACTTCATTTCCATCCTCAAAATGGTTCTTGGATAAAAAGCCCACTCAAATAGTCAAATTAGTGGAGCCAACAAAATCAGAAAGAGTAGATGCTACCAGAACTTATTCTGTTTACAAATAATAGCTTTATTTATATTGCCAATAGTATTACAATTCAAGAATCCAACCTTCTCCTTAACCTTCAAATTCCTCTTTAATTCTCGATTTCTTGGTAACATCAAAATTAGATTCATTGCAATATTTTCACGTTATCCCATTATGTAGAATTCACGATCAATCTATGTAGAATCAACGAACTAAACCTGATCAATGTAAAATAGATAACTTTTCTATACGTCATCCAAGAGTTTGTAACCAAATCGAGCGAAAAAAAGTTTTTAAAAACCACAACATAGTTTGGAAGAATACATTTCCAATTTCCGATGGTCATCAGCAGGAAGATACAATTTGACCAAAAGTACTTGCGAACAAAAACACAGGTCGGTCTCAAGCAATACTTATATATTTATATATATATATATATATTTTCTAAATGGCATATTTGCCCATGCCAGATATCAACTGCATTAATGAATCAGTTGCTGAAAAGTGATGAAAGATAAATACAATTCCTTTCAGCCCTAATTTATCAAAATTAAAGCTGTTTATTCCGAAATTCAGTTAAACAATTTGAAAAACTATTATTGATCGACATTTGGTGAAAGAACACTGGAAATAATTTCCAGCTGAGGGCTAAACTATGCTTGATGTACGTCAGATAATCGTTTTCTTCCGTATATTCCAGCGAATAAAACATCTCATTAATATTTTACATAAAAAATCGAAAAATTCTCCTTGGTTTTTTTTAGTAATGATTAATAATAATTATCCTCAACAATAAAGCCTCAATCAAAACCTGAACAAAAACATTCAGGAGATATTCTGATTGAGTAGGCGCTTGACGAAGCGTTTAGACGAAGATGGGAAAAGTAGTATCTTCTGTTACTTTCACTATGTAATATTGGGCCGATATTTTTGAAAACGTCTTACCCTTATACCAATTCAACCAATAATGGTGGGCATGTTGGAGGAGCTTTTAAATTCTTAATTAAATTCTTTTAAATTCTTAATCATTTTCACCAAAAACATTTGTAAAATGAAAGCTGTGTTCAACAAAAAATGTTTGAACGGAATCACTAAATCAAAAATCACTAAAAATATTTTTTTAATGCCATCTATCATTTATTTGTGCATACAGTATTTGTGTATACCATCGTGAGTATACAGTTCATTAACAAGAAGTTCGTTCTGGTCGATTTCCTGCCTCTAATCAATATCTACATAAAAATAAAAATTTAAAAGTTTATAGAGTTTATAGACGCTTTAAAGTACTAAAAATACCTAAAGAAAAAGGAAATATCTTATAAAGGCAAGAACAACGAAACAAAAAATGCCACATCAGCTGTGGTTAAAGTTACATTCATAGTTCTGTGAGAACTTGTATTTAAGACTTCTAACCTCTGGGACTTTGAAATAATAAATTTTTTGCGCTGGATCGTCCATCAATCCTTGAACAGCATTGGGTGGAAAAGCACCACTGCCTGGCGATGGTTTCGGAACAACCTCATTTCTTAAACCCATAATATGGCAATAAAAATGATTAATAATCCAGAGACTACATGATCAACTAATTTGTTAACATTTTCAATATTAAAATTGTATAACCTATTTTTCTAAAATATCATCAAAATTGATTGAAATTTTATGATTTTATGATTTCCACTTTTGCAAAATATTTTTTTTTCACGCCGTTACGACGAATTCCTTTGTCATTACCTTACAAAATGATTTGACCTTATTAACAAACTATTAACAAACCCTACCCAAATGTCTATTTAATAAAAAAAATGAGATAACAACCACATAGAACTAAATTTATAACATGGTCTGTTATTCCACGAGCCCATACCTTTCAAGTAACGGCGGCTTTTTTCGCTCTTTTTGATATAATCATTTAAAATCTATTTAAATGAACTAGAATAATGAGGATTACAAAGATAATGACAATGTTCCTTTCGTTGGAAAACTTTTTGTTCAAATCTTTAATTTCTTCATTTTTCCTGAATAATTAATTAAAATACATAAACAGAATAAAAAAGTTTAACTCCTACGCAATTTACTTTTCAATATGCATTTTTCTTTTTATCAACCATTATTCGGCAATCTCTTGCAGTCAGCCAAACCAGTGTTAGAAAAAGATGAATCATTATCTGACTGATCTGACTTTTAAAAAATAATAAAACTATAAATGAGATTAAATGATAAATAAATCTCATAAAGAAATAAACCGCGTTCAGTATAAATATCAATTTCCCTTATCAAATTTTGATTTATCCTTTAAATTCTTTTCAAAAAAGAATAAAATTACTTTTATGAAAATAGCTTTTCAAACATTTCTTCGATAATAATCACTAATACTCACTGAATAATACTCAATAAATCAACAAATTTCGATCTTCCTTACGTTAAAAAAAGGGTAAATAGACGTACCGTAAGGTGGTCGTTGTATAGCATTGTAGATATCTCGATTATATGCTTGATTATGTGAAATAGGTGATGATGAATAGCTTGTTGTTGGTACTGACGTATTAAATGAGGGTGATGACCTCACCCCCAGTGATGGAAATTCTGTTTCGTTAATTATGGTTTCGGTTAATGCGGCCGCGATACCACTTCGACAATTTAGCGTTGTTGTTGTTGCTGTTGTTGTTGAATTCGTTTGGCTTAAGCGATTATTGGTCCGAGCTAATATTCCACCACCAATACTCATTGAACTATTTCGATTATCGCATAACAATTAATTTCCTTTATTCTGTCACTATTCTGAAAATTATTTTCCCTTTTTTTACAAACAAAAAGCAAAAAAGCAAAATAAAACTTAAGAAATGATATTCCAGAAAATTGGTGCTGTCTTATTTTTATTTCAATACTTAAAAGAAAGAAACAAAAAATAAAAATTCGGAGGATTTATGCCATTTTCTGAAATTTTTGAATTCTATAATTTCAAATAACATCGAATTCGTCAAATTTAGAAACAAAGAAATACGTCCACTCCGATAAATAACAAACTTCAGAGGAGTGAAATTAATGAAGGATAGATACGACGAGCACTCGACTCGTCCTTTCCCGAAGTCCAGTTTTAGCCGTCCAGTATATTGCCATTCATTTCAAACAGCGAGCAGCATTATTTGATGCTACAAATACTCGAAAAGTCAACAATTACTTTTTGCTTTGAATCAATATTTTGTGCATCTATTCTAACTAATCAATAATTTGTAACCGAAATATACGAAACAAGCCACGAGCTGGCCATCACGCTAGTCAATTCAAATGAAAGGAAGACAACGACTACTCAAATAAGAGATTCATAAGATTTATTAGGATGCGAACCGGAGGAAAAATTTCATACGGATAGCTCTCTATTTGTCCAGCAAAAGGACAAAAGTTCGCAAGATTAATCGCCACTGTTTGTGCGCTTACCAGACTGCTGCTATGATTTCTGACGAATTTTCGAGCGAGCAAAAGAGAATAAAGCATTTAAGCAGATTATAACGAACTGTGCGAATTTCCAACTGGTGTGTCGTGAAATTAGCCAACTGTAGAGTGTTCACTGGACATTCGTATAATACGTACTTCACTTCACGTCTTTAATCGATTATGTTTCAGACGAATCCGGGAAAATCTCCCAAAAACAGCAAGGAGCCCACAAAAGGCTGCCTGAAGCCGCGACCTAAACCACGCTTCTCGCCACGCCTTCCACGCACGTCAAAAAAGGTAAGAAGAAAACGTCATCAACGCATAATGACCCGATGCCAAGCCAATGACGGCGAATTTTAACCCGACTTTTTCTACAATAAAATCTAACCTCTTTTATCAATTATATATCATATTTCTTTATTTCTCTAATCTCTCTTCAAATATCACCATCTCTAAAACGTCTTTCCCATTGCAGCATTATTTCTAATGAACATTTCTCGTCTATGACAATAATAACATAAAGCGTACGCGACGCGACACGCATCGCCATCTAATTCTGCTATCCATATGAAATAACTTGTCCCACAACGAAATATTCATGAACATCTATATGATATTTATTACGGTAATTTGGGTTATTGCAGCATTTTAATATTAATTATTCTAATTCGACTATTGTCGTTTTGATTTGCTGGCTTTTTTCGGCTGGGCGACCTGGGTGCGTTTTTTTGCTATCGAAATAGTCTATAAAATGGCGTTTAAACTATTGCGAATACCTTTTAAAATTTTGAGCTGAGAAGGTCGAAAAGATTTCCCCTAGAATCAATGCACCTCTGTTATTGACCTGAGAACATTGGACTTGAGGGCAGAATCAACGAAAATTCTTTAGAAAAAATTTGGTTGTAGACTTTTCGGCTGCGTAAGCAGCGCTATAAGAAAATTTGTATAATTGGGCGATCATTCTCTTTTTTCATTGCTTTTTCGCCAGCAAATAGTGAATTCTATGAATAAAGGTTCGCTAAGCGTCCCGCAGTCAATTCTTTTGTCTCTTATGTCCTTTAAGAAATTCGGCCATAGCCAAAGGTTAATCAGATGACTTTCTCATGAAATATTTTGGGATTGATTTCGCGGCGGCGATTCTACAATGACTTCGTTCGACTGCGGGAAGCACATGGCCCTATTTCTGAATAGTCTTTTGCATAATTTAATGTTAGAGGTATTTTAATAATTGGGCATGTGCTCATGTGCTCTTCTGTCCTCTTTAAATATCTGTCAAAATTTTCTTTGGAAATTAAATTATTTCAGATTTTTTTGAAAAATAATGATTTTAATTCAGTTCGAATAATGCTTACTTATACTTATCATTGATCGTCGTTAAAAGCTGATTTTTTTTATTATTAGTTTATTATTGACAACAGTTTTTTACTTTCGTTACTTCTCTTTATTGTAGTTATTTTATTTTTTCATGAATGAGTGAAAATATAACCGAAAAGTAACGCCCATGTTTATTTCTAGTCAAATTAAGAGGTAGGGTGGCCGATAAAATCCGAGTGGTACTGTCGGTCCACCAAATAATTTCAAGTGATTTCTGGTATAAACTTGTGACCCTTCAAAAAAGAAATTCGAAAAAATCATTAACAGTGGAATTAACCTAACCGGAAATAGTAAGCTTATTTACTTCTACTCAGTTCATATGATAACGATAGATAAATAATTCATAAGGCATAAAATTAAGGCGATGAATCTATGTGATGAATACTTCTTCTGTATTTTGGTCACGTCTCATCATATGTGTTATGTCAGTCACATTTTTTTTGTTATATGCATCGCAGAATCGTAAATTTCGTTTGGAATATTTACGAATAACACGCAAATATGCTGAATCAATACGCAATTCAGAAGGCTTAGCTGCACAATTGCAGGGTTTGTTTAATTAGATATTAAATCGAAAAATTAAATTAAGTGAATTTAAATTAAGAAATTCGTCTTTAAATATCTGTCTAAATTTTCTTGGGAAATTAAATTATTTCAGATTTTTTTGAAAAATAATGATTTTAATTCAGTTCGAATAATGCTTACTTATAGTTATCATTGATCGTCACAGATGGACACAAAAATTGCTTGAAGAATTGCGCGCGAGATATGACCGCAAAATTAACGGTAAATTTTTATTTATGAGAAATGGATAATAGTGCAATCTTTTTATAATTAAAATATCAAAAACATCAATTTTTTTATTTGTTATTCAGTCCTTATCGAAAAAGCTAATTGCTAAATGGATTTATTGTTAGAAAAATGATGAGTTTGGTCGAGTGAATTAAAAGATGAATTGACACTCATCCTTTTACCACTCATTGGTGAGAAAATTGTATTATAGGAAAGAGTGTGCAGGTAGGATATTATCGATAATTTAATTGAAAATTGAATTCGAAAAATTCTGAATTTCGTCTTTTTGAATTTCAATTTTAAATCCTCCCTTTCCTTTTTTGTTTCGACTCCCCTCTTATTCACTTTTCTCTTTTTTATTCTCCAGCTTTTTCCCCTTCTCTATAAGAGTATAAAAGAGTTGAATTAGGATTTTATAATGATGAAGGGGAATTTAAATATAAAGAAAGCAAAAGCGAATAACAGAAAAAAATTAGATCGCTGTCTATTATTCTCATGTTGAAGAATAGCCTAATTATTAATGGCTGTTTGGAGAAATATGAAATATAAAAATTTTTAATTTTTTTTTGTAAATTACTTTTTTTGTCTTTGTTTTAAAACATTTTCATCATATTTTCTCGATTTTATGCGATCAATATTTAGAGAACTACGAGAAGTGTCGTAAGGCGATTTATGAGAATTCCACTTGCAAGGTGATTTATTTTATGTTATATTTATATCGTTATTTTTTGTTTTTTTTTTTAATAATTTTTGGTACTAAACTTTTAGTTTTGTATTTTTGCTTTGTTGTTTGTATTCTTTTTTTAAATTATTAATCTTATTTTTTTAGTGCGTAGAATAATTATTTTGATTTAATAGGCAGATTTAATAAAATGTACGAAGCAATTATCGGAAAATGAAAAAAATTATTTGGAATTGATTGATACGATTCGGACAAATGTTGAAGATTCCTTTAATAGTGATAAAGGTTAATAATTGTAATAATTATTTATTATTCATTATTATAAGATTTTTACATAGTGGACATTAATCTTTTTGAAATTCTGTAGATCATTTTTTTATGCTTGGTGAAATTATAAACAGATATAAATGGTTAAATGGTTAACGCTCACCATTTCGAGTTAGACTAGCTTTGCAGGCTTTAGTATGGTGAGAAATTTTTATGGAGATTTATTCACCGATAGAATACCATTTGGGGCATCAGGACCACTCGAATTTTCTCGGATGATTAAGGTGGTGAGATCGAACGAACCGCTAATATGAACAATACAGATCGAGAAAATACCAATTGTCCATCCCTTTTAGAAATATTAATATTACTTTGCTTCGTTGCGTCAACATTTATTATTGAAGAAATTTAAAACTTCAGTAAGAGGCTAGTGAAACCGAAAAGTGTTAATATTTCTTGTCCTAGTTTGTGGAGGGGAGGAATTTTTTGGAGATCGTGTTAGGGATCTGCTATAAATGCTTCAGGATAATTTATCTTCATTATAATAGCAGAAATTTAATTTTAATTTTTGTCGACAATTTTTTTCATTTTTCATCTGGCAATCTTTTTAGATAAACTTGATATTCAAAATAATGATATTCAAAATAAAATTCTTGCATTCGCGGTGAGTCTCTGTTTGATTTCCTTTTTTATACAGTTTAACTTCAATATTCTAAAATTTTCCTCATGAATCATGTTTCTTACAATTTTTCTTTTAACAGCTGTTACCATTACTGGTTATATTAGCTCGGTTGACTCGGTTGACAACATGTTTTCAAGCTGATCGATTCGATGTCATATCTGACAATAATAAAAGACATTCCTTTTTCCACTATCTAAATCCATATACTACTGATCCACTTGTGCATTCAAAATCTTTTTTATTTCTTATCAAATCAGATTAGCTATTTTGACGCCATCCACCACAGGCTTTAGCAAGCAGTAAAATGTATTAACTCTTGTGGTATACTACGAAGAAACGATCTGGGATAGTATTGTTAACGCAGATGATATTTGAACAAAAATGGATGCAGTCATTTGAAATTATGTCCGCTCGATGAACCCGTAAAAATCTTAGACCTAAGTGGTCAAGGATAATATTTTTCAACGTCTTCTATTCTCAGTGGCTATGTTTCACAGAATCAGCCACATAACAAAATCGAAGAAACTGCAGCTATATAGAAGTGGTCTTTCGTTTTGATGATTTCCTGAGTGCTACATAAAGGTAGTCTCTATAATTGTCACATTTGCTTTGCTCCAGTTATCTCATATTTTTTTCTTCCATAAATTTATTGGAAATGTGTTATGAAGGGCGATGGAAATACCGTTTCAAACAAAGGTCATCTTTTGCGGGCTTTGTTAGCCTTAAGCTTCTGGATGATTCTATATGGCAGAGATCTATTATTATTTATTATTTACTATTATTATTTAGTATTCTGCTGGCTGCTCATAGTTGTAAAATGGTTACATGAGTAATTCCGCAACAGTATGCGACGCATTGTGGTTAAATTTGTCCTCAGACAATTAAGACTAACCTTAATAGCCTTAATAACATTATTTCAGTGACCGTCCTGAATCATAGTTGCTTCATAAAGGCAATTTTAGGCAATTATAATCATAAAGGAAATTTCTGTTGCCCAAATGAGTAGCCATATCGCTCCAATAATGATTTTTAACTTGCCGTATTTTTATCTTTGTGTTTTTTCGAAGAATTCATTTACCAGGATCTCTTGGCATTCTTGCTTTGGCGACTTTGGGCAGTTGGCATTTGCTTCTTATACCTAACTAGTGCATATTCTAGTTGACTTTCATGCTTTTAGACATGCTTTTAATTGGTCTAATATATACTAAAATGTTTCAATAATCCCGTTTGAAATACTCTTACTATCCCCAAATCTTTACTTGAGATGATTGAAAAATTTTGGGAGACTTATTTCTCACAAGTTATCAGTTTTACGCGAATCTTAGCAGCATTGAACCATAGTCTGATCTTTGAAGGCTGTCCATTTAAGCGCTGCTATAGGAACGTCTTTCTAGCACGAACTTCCTATGGCGACTGACTAAAATATAATCAATATAATATAAATATAATATATAATAAATATAATATATAATAAATATAATTTAAATATAATCTGGTTGAAGTGCTGGTTATCTGAAGAGTATTACTCCATGCTGGAACCACGCATTAATAACAAAAAGTTCAGCAAAGTGAAAAAGGCGTTTTTCATTGGTGCAGTGGACCCTAGTGCCATATTTTCCAATCACCGAATACACCACGGCATTAACCTACGTGCATTCCTACCTCCACCGCTTATGACTATCACTTTTCAGTAGATATTTTGTAAGTAGATGGAGTTCCGCATAGAATTTATCCTTATTACGGTCATCTGCGCATGAAGTTGCAGCATATACATTGATGACCGAAATATTGCAGAAATATTTGCAGAACTTTCCTTTGAAACGAGCATTCTATACGGTCATTTACCGACTTCCACTCAATGAGAGCGGATCGAGATTTTCCAGGCATGACAATCGCTACACCATTCCGAGTTTCCGAAAAACCGTAGCTGTATAGACAATACTTCTGCTCGGAGCCAGGTTTAAGAATTAGCGTGAAGTGAGGTCTCCGACGAGCAAGCGACATCCGCACGATGTTTAGAAAGAGTGTGATCTTTTAACTTGTAGTGCCCATAGAAATGTTCTGATATTTCATGACGAAAACCTCACCGCCCGTACAGAGCGATTTCCCTCGACAAGCTTCGAGTAAATACTTTGGCTCGAAAGCATACTTTATTCTCAAGCCTCAGAGTCGTTTTACCCGGGATCGGAAATATCATGACTGGACCTTTTCATCATAGAGTTGGGGATAATAGGACTACAAGCGGGTATTAGATTTTTGAAATTATGAAAAATTATGGTTTACTGGAAAGGCAAAGGCAAGGAAAAAATTAGGAGGGGTAAAAAAATAGAATAGGAAATAAAAGAATAAATTGAAAAAAATCAAATTTATTTTTATAGTTTTATTTGTTTAAATTTTATTTATTTACTTTATATATTTTATTTTATTTACAATTTGTTTTTATTTAAAAACTTCAATATATATACTTCCTTATTTAAAAATTTAAAAAAAATTTGGCTGTTTTGTAGTAAATTTTGAAGTTCCAGAAGTATGTAAGAGAATAGCAGAGTCGAGCAGAAACGATCGCTTAAGGAATAAATTTTTTTAAAATTTCAAAATTCTTGCAATTAATTAATTTATTTAATTGAATTGTTTCAGTGTTTTGTCGATATGTCTTAAATTTACTTAAATTTATACGTAAGAAAATTTTCTTGAAAAATATACACCTAAATAAAATTTTTTAGAATGATCGGAAAGAGTGTTTTAAAAGCACAGAAAAAATGAAGAAAGAATTGTTTCAGATGAAGGTTAATTTGTTATTTCACTGTAACATTTATAATTATGCGAAATAATAAGTATGATTAAAAATCTTCGCCAGAACCATAAAAAAAGAAACTTTTTTAATTCTTATTTTTTATTTTTTGTATTTTAAATAATTTTATAATTTCATTTTATTATTAAGAATATTTTCTTTATATTGATTATCCCTCGGGCCCATTTAATTCAATTTAATTTCGAATTTTATTCAGACGATTCTGAACGTACTTATCATTTTCTTTTGTTCCCGATAATTGATAAATCGAATAATCTCTATTTCAATTTTGTTTTATAAATAAAACATAAAGCATTTAATAATTTTCTCTGACAATCATTTGTTTGATGGGCCAAGTTTGAAATTCTTTAAGGAAGAAAGGAATAAGTGCCTTTTGGAGAATAAAAAGTTGGCAAATGCAGTGCCATCAATACATACTTTAGCGGTTGAGGTAATTTATTTTCGATTAATTATTTTATGCCTCGAAGGTCGCATTTTTATTTTATTAGATTTTACAATGTTTTTGTGGAAATTGTGGTGCTAAATAATCACATATAAGCAAAAGTTTTAGTTAATGCTCAGTTTTTCATTTCCAATGTTTTCATTTCCTTAAAACAGTCTGGAAATTCTATTCTTCGTCAAATACTCTGTCAGGTCCCCTGTGTATTCTCATATTTTCGCAAGACCTTTTTATATTGCCTCAAATCCCTTGCTTTTCAAACAGCACTTTCACTAAATTTGTTGCTCTCTTAATACATTTTGGTAATATTACGAAATACGTCGAATCTTTATGATAGAGTTTATGGGCTTAAGCTTAAGCTGCTGTAGATATAGTAATAATTAGCTTATGTTGATCTCTTCATTTTCTTTTTACTTTTTCTATTTTTTTATGACCAGCTTTTTTGATAATAATATAACAAAATTTTATCTCAATATCTTTCATAGTCGTCTTTTTGTTAATAATTTGGTAATTAGAAGAATGGCAATGTGATTTAAACAGCCAATATGCGCCAAATTTTTTTATTGTGGATTATATATATATATATATTTTTTCTTTCTTTTTCTTCTAACAGCACTTTCCTTCTCTACTTTGGCTAACCTCGCTGATAACTAGGATTAGATCTCACCAGATAGTCGTTTAGGAATAGAACCAGATAGTAAATAGACTATAGCATCTGGATTTCATTTCAATAATATATTTATTGAAGAACAAGAATTGAATTGAGTTCATAACGAGTTGAAGCAGTATTCATTCGAATGTCACTTCGTATAATCTGGATTTTTCATTTAACATTTCTTAATTTTTTTATTACTTTTTATAGTATAATTTTTATCTTTTTTTGAATTTTTAAACTTTATGTTAAACTTTTAACGTTAAATTTTATCTTATGTATTTTTATTTTTTGTGTTTTTTTGTGTTAAATTTCATTTGGTTAATGTATTCGGATGATGCTGGCAGCTCACCTATATTTCTATCGTCAAGAAACTCCTTAGCATATTTGCCTAGTGTGACAAGCCAGCGGAGCCTAACCAGTAATGGTGAATTCTGTTTTAAAAAAATTCTATAATATTAAATCGATGTTTGAGGAAAGAAGACAGATTAGTCTCATTAGTTAAAAGTCATATTTACGTTCTAGTTGGACAGATAAATTTTAATCTTTTTAATTTTAATACTATGTTTTCTCTTGGTTTTTGAAAAAATATTGGTTTAAACTAGCAGTGATTACTTCATTTTACAACGCCTTTTGATTTATGTGACGGTTGAGGGTAAACAAATTTATCGCACTATTTTTTCTTGTAAATTTAACTTTTCATCTATCATAATTAAAATAACCAAAAAATCTGATAAATAAATTTGATAACATAATTTCAAGTTTCTTTTAATTTGGTTAACACGATTTTTTACTTTAAATATCATTTAATTATTTTTATTCAACGAATTCAACGAATTTTTTTCTATAAATTGTTTAACTATCTTGTGCAGTGTCATTAGGTTAAATTTCAATGATAGGTATCTTCTATAGGTAAAAATTACAGATTTTTATAATCATAATTACAGTTATTCTAAATAACGATATGGGTGATTTTCGCAGATGTTGTTTAAAAACGGCTCATCAAAAGTTTGTATCGAAGGTAAAAATTGTTGACCTGACCATTGAGTCATTTCGTTACAGCACGTAGGAGAGAAAACAGTCGTAGCTATCGATCCAACGAAATTTCTTTGATTATGTTCAATAAATTGTTGCGTGCTTGGCCAGTAAACTGTTGAATGTGACTGGGAAACATTATCCGTAAGATGAAGCATTGGAGTATGAACAAATAGCTAAAGAATTTTTTAATAATTTCTACAGTGGCCATAATGGCAAATTTTTGATAAATTTTTTTGATTTATTATTAATTAATATTAGAATTTTTGGAAATTTTAAAAATCTTGCTAAGTTCAAATGGTTAACATGATTTTGCGTTTGTCTCTGCATATAGTGAATGAACCATGGCTGTATAGTTGTTATGTTTGATCCACTGCTAATGGAACTATGAAGATTTCTTTTCATTCTTCTCCTGAAATTTCTTCATCTAATTGAATTGACGAATTTATTTAATTGATTAAATTCAGTTTTCGGATAGTTATAAGGTTTCTTCAAACTGGTATGATTTCAATTGATTCATTTGATATATCGTTTAATTTAATGGTACAGTGGATTCAATAGAACTGAATTGTCAAGAATCGTATTTCTAAAATATCCAGAAATGAAGATGAATGAAATTTAATGGTAAATTTAATTTAACGACTTCGTAAAAAATGAATTTTGACGTTTAGGAACAATGACTAAATTTGTACATTTATTGCCTATTCACTGGCGCCTACTTTCTACTTTTTGTTATCTCATCGTCTATTTTTTGCGTTATTTTCATCGATAAATGATAAGTCGTCTAAAAAGATTTTTTTCTACTCTTAAGGTAGTTCTTTTCATAGTTCATCGTATTTTTTAAATTTTTTAAATTGTTGTACTAACCTTCTTTTATAGTTCCCATCATCAAACATATTAGTTGAATCAGGTGCTAAAGTCCAGTAGTTACCTTTGCGGTCATTTGCACAACCTGTACCATCCTTTGATTTTTTAACAAAACATTCATTTAGTGAAAGGTTATGGCGAATACTGTTTTGCCATCCTTGTCGTCGTTTTAGTCCGCAATTGCGATAATATGGGAAACGCGCATCGATATACTGCAATTGCAATCTTACTTCAACATCTTACTATATATTTTTTGTCTTCAGCATCTAATGCACGCTATTATTTATCTTCGTAAAATATACGGAATATATTGTTAAATCGATAGAAGTGTATTATATAAAATGATGCGAAATTTGAATCATCAAACAGTGATCAGTCATTCGTGATTCGATCATTTGAAAAGAATAAATCGGTTGGTTAGCTTATTTGGTTTTTGTCGGCAGAAAGCTCATGGGAAAAAGATTACTATGATTGATCATACGAATCATTTTTTTCTCATGCGAAATATTTCAATGTTAAGAATTTTGTTGTTAATTTTATAAAAAAAATGAACTTACATTGTATATTTGTGATAAGGTAAGTCGTTGTTCCGGTGATTCGTTAATAGCCATTGTGATGAGTGCAACATATGAATATGGTGGCTTCTCCTCGTCGTTGCCTTCTTCGCTAAAGAAAATTGACGTGACCGTGAGGACTGCTAAGATTTGAGAGAAATTTTTTTGCCTTTGTCCCAATAACCCCACTTCGTTGTGCTTGGTGAATGGAAAGAAGCGTATTGTTTCTCTCACTTCTCTTAAAGATATAATCAACTGGTTTTATTGATGGAATTAATCGACTCTAATTATTTCATAATAAATTAATATAATACATAATTACCATATTTCTATTTCAGAGAGAAAAAAAATTTTTTCTCTCTAAATCCTTGCGTTTTTGCATCGAATATAATTTTTATAGTGGTGAAAAAGAAAAAAAAATTTTGTTCCACTGCAGAATAACAAACCATATAATTATAAAAATGTCTTGATTTAAATTCAGATAGAAGTGAGGTTGCTAAAAAAATTAATTGAACAAACGTGATTACGACTTTTGATGCCGATTTCCTGTTTTTTTCATTATTTTTTTATTTATATTTTTAATCAAAGTTTTGGAGAATTTTTTGATTTTTCGACCAAAAGCAATATTTATGGTATTAGATTTTATGATTAATTAGTAATATTTGCGAACTAATAAGCGCAGTATTAACGATAGAAATATTATTTGTACATAAAGTCGTTCGTCATGTTATAAAAATTATTTTCGCTTTGTGGCTTTCTTTTCAACTTTTTGATATTTTTGATATTTTTTCTGATTTGGATTTTTTTTGCGTTTTAGGCTGGGAATCGACAAATACAATATGCTGAAGAAGAGGGTAATCGGAAGTTAGAAAAGCATGGATTTACTCCGTCAGCCAGTGGTGCTGTGATTGCTGAAAGGAAGAAATCAACTAAACAATCACTTCGACATCGAAATGCTGCTGAGTTTTTTAAAAGAAATGATGAACAGGTAAATGAATAAATGATCAGCCGAATCTAGAATTCTCAGAAAGAAATGACTGCAGGAACTTAATGTAATAAGCGATATATGCAAAATAAAATTTGCAAAAAAAATGAAAAACTAACGGAATATTCGATGAAGGAAACATTAATAAAGATCAGCGAAAGCGCTACTGTTTGTATTGAAAAAGAATATTTTGAAAGTTGCTTCAACAAGCTATCATCGTGTATTATCATCGGCGAATTTTTTTTTTTTCTGTTTTTCTTAATCTTTTTTTGCCAATTTTTTGTTTTTTATTGGCATTCCTTGATTTAATTTAATAATTTTCAATTTAATTTACTTCGAGGAATTAAAGATTATATTTTTCCATATATTTGAGTTTTTGATTTGATATTCTTGTTGTTTACTGGCTTAGGCTTAATCTCTATGTGATCTGCAATCGATTTTTATTTTCAGACCAAATTAACTCAAAATTATATTCAAAATGGTCAGGTACTCTTTGATCGAGTGAAATCGGCTGATGACGATCTTGAATTTCAGCGTCATATCGGCGATTCATTCGTGTTACAGTCTTTAATGCCTAGCGCTGATCTTATACAAAAAATTAAGGAAGAGAAGGATGCTCAGAGAATGATTAAGGATGGATACGGTATTAATTAAATAATTTCAAAATCAAAGGAAAAAATTTTTTGGGTTTAAATCGTAAATTTATATATTTGTAATCATCATGGTTGTACATAGTTAAATTTAGTGGTTTATTTACCTGTTATTACCTCAGCACTTATAACAGCATTCACCATTACTGGCTTGGCTGACTTTCTTAGTGAATTTCATTTGGAATATAGTTGCAGGCCTATTTTTTGCATCTCTAAGATTTAATTTTTATATTTATTTTATTTCTTAATTTTTTTGTTTACTCCTATCAAGAATCAAGGAATCGTCATAATGTCCGATGCGAATCGAAACAGCCACAATTCGATAACTGTCTCTCCCCTTCCACCGGATACAATCTCTTATGTTTGAAAATGTGTATAAATTAAATTAAAAATTGTGTATAAATTAAATTAAATTTTATTAGTCTTAATTAAGAGTCTAAATTTTATTTAGTTGAGAAAAGCGATATGGAAATAGTCGATCGTCCAGACGAGAATGAAAGAGATTACAAAGATGGTCGGTTTTAAACTTGGAATGCAAATATTGTTTTCATTGGATTTAAGGTCATTTCTTCTTTTTCATGATTATTATTTGAACTGTTATAATTTTTTTTATTTGCTAATATAATTTATTATTATAATAATAAAAAATATTTTAAAGTGTATTTTATAGTATTTTCATATTTCTTATGTTGATGTGAGGAATTTTCCTTTCTTATAGTTGTGGTTTTTTGGTCTTCTGAACGATTTGCTGGCAGCTTCATTGTCTGGTTTAATAAATTTTTATCTCTTTTTTCTGTTTATAATTGATAGATTGATAGCTAGAGAAATTAATAATCTTGTTCCTTTGTACCAATCATTTTTGTTGAGCCTATTGGCTATTTCCTTTCCTTTTTTATTTTTTATTCTATATGTTTTTATCATAAATTATTTTAAAAATTGCTATTTTCTTTTACCAATAATAACTTATATAAGTTGGCATATGTTGGTCAGTTTTAGCGTAATAAAGATAATGTTTTTAATCATATCTGATAACAATTTTGCTGGCATATTATTTTTAAAATTTTTATTTATTTATGAATAGATTTGTGGATGCATATACATATATAATATTAACTGTCAAATAATATTAATATATATATTTATATATATATATATACATATAATTAGCTGTCAAAAAATTTATTTATGAAGGAAATGCAAAGGAATCGTTTTTAATTTGCGAAAATATTTCGGTACTTTAGTATGTCTTTCTTAATTGTCGAATATTTCTGGTTTGGTTCATTGTTCATTGGTACTTGGATGTGGAGCCATTTCGTCAGAGAATAATTATGAATAATCATTTGAATTTGTGCTTATGGGTCTCCAGTACCAATTTTAGTTTCACTTTTAATGTCAAATTTATTTTTGTCAAGAGGCAAAAATCAAATTTTTCTATGAAATTGGTTTGCAAGTTAGATTTAATTTAGCTTAGGATTAATACTAAAAGTTAGCTTATTCGGTTCAACACTCTTAGTCCAATATTTTGAAAAAGAGCATTTGAAACAAAATTTTAAAATTTGAAAAATTATGAGAAAATATATATGCTGGCATTAGTCAAATGAGTATTGTTGCCAGAATTGTTCGCGCGGAAATTAACTCTGCGTTGGTACCAGTCGATGGGGATGCACTGTGGTCGACGGCATACTCCTTGCATTTTTAGCAACAGCTTTATATTGCAGTGGAAAGTTATGGTGGGCTGAAAATTCATGTAGCCAATAATTTACTGAGATAAAACTAGAAAAAATTGATAAATGAGTTTAAGTTAAAGCAAACTTTCTTTTCTTTTAACTCGATTTGTTTGGGTGCTTTTACGAAAATTTTAATATTTTCCTAGTTAAAATCGTCATAGTTTTTAATCTCAAAAAATCTTTTTAATATTAAAAATATTCTTTCGTTGTAAGAAAATTTATTGTCGAAAGGAAACAAATATTGTAAAATTGGTCACGAAATCTTCGAATTTTTTCCTCATTTCTCCATACATTTCCTTATATTTTATTATTTTTTTAAATTCTTTTATTTATCAAGTAAAATATGCTTATTTTTTATCAAAGTATCAATCTTAAATTTTCGCAATTGAATGAGATGGAACATAGAAAAATGTGATTCAAATGTGAAATTTTTTAATTACTTTTGCTTAATCAGGAAGCAGGAATATTTTATAATATTGTTTATAAATCTCATAGCATCGAATCGCGAGATTTGGAGAGGCAGTAATATACTTTAGAGCAACAATAGTGCGAGCTCTTTAAGGCAGTAATATACTTTCAAAAATTCTATAAAATATGGCTAATGGCATAAAAGAGAAAAAGAGAAAATAATATTGAAGGATTCTAACTTGTTCAATGTCGAGCGAAAATGCATTTGATTTTAAGCCAGCATCTAGGTCGTTCATATAGCTAACATGCGGTATGAGGTTTGGAAATAAGGAGCAACCGTGTTCGTCGATAATGGGCACTGCTAGTGAATTCGGCTGAGAAGTAGATACTGTACAATTATTTACGATCATGCAATATACTTGGGACGCAACTGGACCGTATTTACATGTCCAGTGATGATAAATTGGGTCGCCAATTCGCACTTCCCTATAATATTTTTAGTGAATGCAGCAAACTGAATTTATTAATTAATGGTGCGATATTCACAGTTATGATTTATATTAATAGTGGCGTTATTTATATTAATAGTGATGATATGATAATAATGATGCTAATACTAATAATAATATAATAAATGATAATAATAGTAATAGCAGCAATATTGGTGATATGATAACAGTGATAATAGTGATGTATTGATTTACAAGTTTATATTTTATCATTTGGCCAGACTGAATAAACAATTTTATCTGATGAATAATGCTTAGAAATAATATGGTAAGCTCATCCAAAAATTCCCCTGGTATCTCTATGGATATGTAACTTGGCTTTTTCAGAAATAATAGTAGTCAAAGAATAGAGAAAATCTGAGAGACAAAAAAGAAAGTAGTACTGAGCAAAAATACTTATAGAAAGTAATACAGTAATTAGCCTAGGCAAATTAAATGAGCATTTTAAGAAACCGTGAAAAAAGTCTGTATGGATTAATATAGTGAACAAAAGCTATCACTTCGCTGATTTGATGATATTTTTATTCAATTTTTTGATGAGTAGAAATATAGAACAAATGATTATTGCATATTATATATTAACTGCAAAGAAAAATTTGGAGCGTTTAGCGCTATGTTTTAAGAGCGCAAATTTAATAAAAAAATTGTGCAATTTGACTATTGGTAATTGGTAATTTGATAATGGTTTTTTTGGTGCAATTATTTAATTACCTATGGGTTAACAGTCACATCTTGAAATGGGCTTTTAATGATAAAGAGTAACTTTCGTTATAATAACATAATTTAATAATTTAGTAACATAATTTCGTTATAATTTTCAAACCACCTTATTTCGAATACTGTGCTTTGTTCCCATTGGGCTGCTGGAAAAAAATCGAAAATTAAAATATCGCTCAGCAAATAATAATGCTGAGAAAAGGTGACGATTAATAATTATTTTCGAGAGTCTTCTTATCTCCCGAAGAAATCTCGTTAAGTCTCTCTCATCTTTCTACGAATTACGAAATTCTTCCGTTGATTATCTTTATCTTTCGCTAAATTATGCTAAACTTATTAAATTTTAAGGGTGATAAAAACGAATTTTCCAGTGTGAAGCGTTAATCAGCGCCATTTCATCATTGTCTCGCCGAACAAATTTGCAAACAATTTTCTGTTCGCCTTGACACAATTTCCTCTTCTCGATTGCAAAACAATATTTTTACTGTATCTTTCAATGAAAACAAAATTAACAAACAGAAATCTTTTAAATTTTCTGTTAACATATATTTAAAATTCAAAATGTGGTTATCGAATCTCCGAAAATCTCTTTCTCAGACCAAAAAATTTTTGTCATCGACTTCACTAATTTTCACTAATTTTTCTCGAATTATTTGCGAATTTTTTCTTTTTTTATGCTAATTTTTCATAAAATTTGTTGAATATTAGTCATAAAGCTGATTTAATTACGACGATCTATGCACATAATAAAGTTAAGTGGTGTTGACTGCGTCCGAAGTGATTAGAGTGATGTTTAGGATGACTTTATCAATATCTATGGAAATAAATTTAAGCAGGAGATCCATTTATTGCTTATTCCTACTAATAGTCCACTCTTTTTTCTAATATTTTTATACTACTAGATTATTTTTACCAGATCAGACCTTGCCGATTAAATTAACATATAGAAATTGTAATTATTTTAATAACAAAATTATTGGTGCCCAAAATTCGTGCGAGTAAATTTTTGTTATGCGAAAAGGTATTTCAATAAAATAATACCTGATAAGTTTAGGCCCATTGCTACCTTCATGTTGAACGTGATAGGAGCATTCTGGTTCAGGAAATTTACTGACTGGTAAGTCGACAATTTGATCGAATGGAAAGCCAATATCTTCGTGGCGAACTTCACCATTCATTACAGTTTTAATAAATGTAAAAATAACTATGAAGAAAGAGAAGCTATCGGCCATTGCCAGCAATATATGGGTCATTTACTAAAAAATTTTTTCGGTCATGGAAATTTTCTACTTTAGTTAAATTACTTCATTTCTCTATGCTAAATTCCTCTTTCGATAAATTTTTCTTTTCCTCTCTTTATCAACGATTTCGAAGAATTTCGCCAATTTTGGAACTGAAGTAAAGAATGATAGAATTTTCGCGAATGAATGGTGATTATTCGTTTACCTTGCTTTTATACCGATTCCGTCAAAATGTTCGCCTCACTTTTATGGAATTCAAGACAAAATCTGGGCCTTGGACAAGATTTTCAGGTAAAACTAAGAATTTCTCATTAAAATTTCATTTCGTTTAAATTTCTGATAATCTATTCTCATTTGCTTCGAAATTCAATAGAATTTTTCTTCTGATACTCAATATTTCTAGTTTGGCAAATTCCTGCGGTTATTAGAACAAAATGCTCTGATCAGAAAGTGAATTTAGCGATATACGAATAAGTAAGTCTCTAGTATCGTCTGGATTTCGCTTTTAATTTGCTTCCTCCGGTAGAGGTAAAGGAATCCGAGAATGGATATTGGAGAAACTGGGATTTTCATTTATATTCAACGAATTTTCAGCCACAAATATACAAAATCCTGCTATTATCATCATGCCACAAAATCACATTAAAATTTTACTTTAAAACATTGTATTTTGAAAAATTTATTTTAAAAGTGAATTTATTCTACGAATTTAATGCAAACTTTTTTTCCAAACTTGGGATGCAATTTATGAAGTATGATTTTTATAAAATTTTTGTGTAATTTTTCCTTCTTTTGTCATTACCTAGCTTTTTTTACTCCAAATTTTTTAAAATTCTGATTTTTTATTTTGAATGAAGCAATTTTTCTCGAGGAAGAAATCTGTTGATTTGGAAATATTTTATATCATTTTTAAGTCCTTGGTGCAATGCTTACTCGTTCTTCGCTAAAGTAATTTTTTGAAATTTGAAGGAAAGAATTCACAGAGACGAGCAAATCTTCCAGAGAAACCATAGTTGGATAAAATTAATAACCGCTGACTTAGTGCAATAATTTAATCAGTTATGTAGATAAGTAAATCTTCGAATATCATGAACTGTCAGAAGAGTCCACATTATTATTTTAAGTTTGAAATTACTTATTTTTTTATACCTATAAATTTTTTGGTAATGTAATAATACTCGAAGGAAACAGTCAGAATAGAAATGGTGAAATGAAAAATGACTACTAGACTTTGAAAACATTTCGAAAAGAAACGGATAGTGTAATTCTACTTATCTGAAGATTAGCAAAATTTCATGGGTAGAAATATACGATAAAATATTTGAAATATATTTTATTCTTGATGGAAATTATCTTGTCGGAAGGCTAATCAATGAATTTTTGCATTTTCTATTCAGTTTCCTCAAAAATAAATGAGATACAAAAACAAATGAGATACAATGAGAAATGGTGAAGTGGGATCACTGTTGATCAATTCAGTTTATATTTTCCATTTAATCAATATATCCGAGGATAAAATACTTGTATCAGTGGTTATAGTTTTGTCTTATCATTTTTGATTTCGTTGGCTGTTTGTTAAGAAGAGATTGATTCGTCTTAAATCTTGGAAGTAATTCCTTCTCAATTCCGAGGTATTGTCTTTTTTTATAATTTTTCTTGTCTTTTCTGTCTTGCGGCATTCATTCCCATATGCCTTCCACCTTTTACAATATCACTTTTCAGCTAAAATTCTTCAAAATTTTGTGCTCAAATCATTCTCACTAAAATTTTTAACAGTGGCGGATTATAAAATTTTTTGATTGTTCTTTTGATGCAGTTATTATAATGATTTATAGTTAAAATTTTGCAAAGTGCCCATTGCACAATGGTTCGAGCGAAATATTTATTTTCAAAAATAAAAATAGAATTAACAAGTCAGAAAGACAAGCTTCTCAATTATTTTTCGCTTTTTAAACGTCATTCTCTATTCTATATACTCTATTTTAGACGCCATTTTATGATAATTTTGGTTAATTTTAAACTTTAACAAGAAGAAAATAAGTATTATAAAAACGACTGCATCCCAATGATCAGTGCAAGCCAAATAAATATTATTCTTCTTCTTCTTAAGAGTCCTCACCATTACTGGTTAAACTCGCTCCACATATATATATATATTTATAATTAAATATCAAATATATTATTAAAAATAAATGATCAATTGAATTATTTGTAGTTTCCATGAGGTTCTTCCAAATTTTTTAGGCATTTTGCGGTTTTATTTCTTTTCCATATGCATTTATTTCATTAAGTTTGATCTGAAATCCCTTCTTCTTCTTCACCCACTTTTCCGAAAATCTAAAAGACAGTTGTTTTCTTTCCTGATTTAGAATATTTTGCTCCTCATATTGTTATTCTACTACCTTCCATTAGAAATCTGACGTATAATTGGATTCTTGTTAAACCTCTTACGATTTATAACCACTATTTAATTTATTTATTTACAGCTTCAAGTATGGTGTAATGCAAGCCCAATCGTGGTCTCTGGACGTTACAAATACTGGAAGTTAGCAAATTGACTTTTGAGAAGAAATTTAATAAAGGAAGTGAGGATTTCTCGTCTGATTTACAAATTTCTTTATGTAATGACAAATCATAGCCTACTCTTGACTAATTTGAGCGAGAGAGGCACAAATGTAGTTATTATAAAGGAAAAATGCTCAACATATCCCTGCAAGTTATTAATTATTAATCGTAATGCGATTAATCGTTTTTATTGGTAGATTAACTTTGAAATACGACTGAAAATGGGACTTACGGGAATAGTTTGTTTTAGGACTAATTGTATAGAAATTTGTTCTTTTTTAGATCACTCAGTATTGCTAGTTATATTCGCTCCACTGGCTTGTCAATCTAGACAAATCTCAAATATGCCAAGGAGTCTTTTGGCTATAGAAATATAAGGTGAGTCGCCAACATCGCCTGGATTGCTGAATGACAGGCTTATTCCTGCAGGGGCATCGACGATCCGAATTGAGCAAGCACAATTGAGGTTCTACTCTTCTTTGCTTTCTCGACACTGCTGCCCTATGAAGCGTGATGCCGGATTCGAACTCGAGACTTGATCGTCCACTGTCGAATTTAATCATAGATTAATATTATAAAAGTTTATTAAAAATTTATCTGATTGTGTATGCTTATTCATTTATAAATCTCTCTCCTCAAATAGATGAATACTGAATGAAAAAAATGAGGAAATTCTCTTTAAACTTTACTCGTCATTTGAACAAATTTATTGAAATAAAAATAATTTTTTAATCAATTTAAGGCACAAATAATTAAGAAACAAAACTACTAAATCAAAGGATGGCGCAAAAAACGTGGAGACGGTTGTCTCGTAATTTATAAGACAATGTCTTGTAAAAATTCGTAATTTATAAGACAATGTCTTGTAAAAATTAATTAATTATCTTGTAAGAATTAATTTTCAAAATTAATTTATAATTTATAATTTATAATAAAATTAATTTATAATAATTAAATAAGATAATTAAGCCATCATACATCACTGAAAACGACTCACATTCGGGAACTTAAAGTAAAAAAACTTTTATTTTACTTCCAAAACTTTTATTAAATTTTTTACTGCAAAATTAAAATTTTTCCTCAGATAGGTGTCGATAAATGGTACTCGCATGCTATAAATCGAAATCAGAATGTTCATATTGTCATTTTGGAATGATGTGACAATGAATTCACGGTGGAATGCAGCGATATATGGAAGCTTAGTAAGTTCGATCTCGAATGATAGTATGCAAATTTGGTTGAAGATTGGCAAAAATTATTCATTTTTGGATGAACCTTTTATACAAATACAAATCATGGTTAAGGATTGGTTTCGCGATAAAATTCTTACACACACACACTTCACACACGAAAACCTCAGGTTAGATTGACGGAGATTTTTCTTCTTCAGTTTACTAATTTTATTTGATTCTTATATGTTTTCTTCGTATTGATTATGACTCAAAAAATGAAAAAAAAACCTACCAAAAACTTATAATTTTGAACAAAAATGTTATGATTATGAGCGATTCATACATAGGTGTCATACTGCAATCACTTTTATTTTATTCAGTCATATTCAGCTGAATAAATGTATGGAAATCGAATTAAGTAATCTTAAACCAAATGGATGGTACTTAGTTGATATATGTTTGCGAGCTATAACGCCAAAATCATTTCTGCAGAAGTATAATCTTGAATTCTTTGAGAGTTATAGGCGAGGCTCATACGAATTAAAGCTTCGCCTATTTTGCACCGTTTTTTTTTGTCATTTCTTCATTAATTTATTCATTAATCCATCTTTAATTTATTATATGCGTATTTAATTGCAAATATTCCATAAAGATTAACGAAAACACATTGGTGCTTGCTTCTTGTCCTTTCACCTAATGTCAAACTAGTGGGAAAATTTCCATTTGAAGGTAAATTAATATTTGGTTAATTAGCGATTAATTAGTATCCGTGATTCTTTTTGCGGATTACCCTGTTTTAACTACTGTAAATAAAACTTAAAAATTTTCTTGCATATGCTAGTAAATTTCATAATCGATGCAATATTTATTTTTTCGAAAAATTGTTTGTAAATTACCAACCAAAAAATATCCATTAAGATTTTTATGCTTTAATTTCAGGTTTTATAAGACAAGTGATGATTTCTATTCTACAAATTTTCCAATTTTCTAGTGTTTCTGGAATAAAAATACTCAGGGAACAATAAAATTGTATGCTACATATTGCCAAAGGATTTTAAAGAAGAAAGCCTACGATATAAGGCCATTCGAATATAATTATATTGAACTATAGTGGGTTATAAGTCTCGAAAGAAATAGCACCAGAAGCCGTTTCTCTTTTTAATCTTTCATTAAATCCAAATTTATTGTTGCCTGAAGCATAAACTTTTTGGAAATAAAAGGACGATATGGTCATTTGATTAACCTTTAATCGAAAGTTGCGGAAAAAAGTTTAAATGTTATTATTATAATGTTATTATTAATGTTATTATTATGCACAGTCCATGCAAAAATGCAATTAATTCAAAAAACATGGAAAACAAGCCAAAAGTTTCGAATTCGATTGATTTTCGATGCTGCGCAGTTTTTAGATTGCAACAATTATAAAACCATTTGAAATCAGTAAATTAAAGATAAAGAAAAAGAAAATATAGGTGAACACATAATTCCAACCAGAGGAACTATTGCATAAATTTTCTCTGCAGCGACAAACGGCTGGACTTTTGTTAGTTGCGCACTGAAATGGCATTCGAGCAACACCATCGCGATATAACGAATTTTCGCATCCCCGCATAACAAACGAAAGTTCTGAATGATTTTCTTACTGAGCTATTGCTAACAATATTGAATAATCCAAACTACGGTATCACTAGATTATGCACTATCGAAAAATATTTTTCTATGGTAGCTTACTTAAAAAATTTTACAGCTTTCTGAAAATTTGAAGGAAATTCTCATTTTTCAAACAAACCACGACCACGATTTTTAGGTAAATCTTAAATCTTGATTTTCGGTCATAATAAGCAATAAAAATTTACTCACCTTCCTGTCTTACAAATATTTTAATACATTGATCGTTTGATGAACATTCGATCTGAGTTATTGTTTTAAATTGAATATCTTGTGCATCGCCGCAATACTTATTTACAGGCGGCAAATTATAGGCAGAATAGAGAATACTTCTGAGCGCATATCGAGCATCAGAAGCGGTCGATTCAGGAAGTATAGATGCACAGTGATAACATTTAAAAGTATCGCAGTAAATTAGCTTACTAAAAAATAATAGAAAAATTGCTGACATAGCGATGGTCGCCATCTCTATTAAGAAAAAATTTACCAAAGATCTATCCTGTATATAGATAATCTAATCCATTAATAGATTCGCCTTGCAAATCCGGAAATAAAGAAGAAATTTGCAAAATTAAAGCAATTCAACTAGCAATTCTAGTTGAAATTGGTTAGGAGACCAGGCCACACTTATGCATTGAATTCGAATATTTGTTTAGGCAAAAATGGCGAGATTTCAGTTGTCATAGAAACATGACGCGAAGTAATTTTTATATAGCGGATGAAAGCAGAGCAATAGAAATTCATCGCCAATATAGGATTATAAGCCAGAATTAATTAGTTGAAAAAAATTGAAAATTTGTCTAGTTAAATTAAACTGCAACCAAATTTTTCTAATTTTCATTCTAATCCATAATTGTTCGAATTCGCTTAAACCTTAATTTTCTGGAAAAAACCTCCCATGAAATTAAAAAATTTGATTTAATTTGATTTGAATTCTCTTTTTCTATAAATTCACTTTTTTCAGCTTAATATTGTTCATATTCAAGAAAGTCTACGATTGGCGCAAAAGGGCAAAAAAAAGAAAAATATTGTGCAAAGCCACAAGTTTTCTAACTTTCGTTGTATATTCGAAGATTAAAATTATTTAATTTCTAGTAAAAAGCAATATATTTAAGGTAAACTATATGATGGCCATGAATTTAACCCTTAGCTTTATCAGGCTCCCGAAAAATCTGTTTAGTCTGAAACTGTCGTTTAAAAAAATGGAAAAATTTTCTCGCAAAATAGGTTTATAACGAGGCACCTGCTAATGGTTGATTTCTGCCGTCTTTCCATCAGATACACATCCATGGTTTTAGGATTTTGAAATTTATTTAGGCAGAGACCAAGCAGAATAAATATCTTCTCTTATCCCATCTTTTCAAAGATAAAATATAAAGAAAATAAGTGGTAAAGTGGTAAATAAAAAATTGAATAAATAACAACTGGTATAAAAAAATACAGTACAATAAATGGTGGTTTAAATGCAAAAACTTATAAGCCTTATCTGCTAACCACCTTCTGAACCCAGATTCCTCCAGCCAGGAAGATTTAGATATCGATATCTTCGATTCTATAAAGCAATATGGAGAATTGTTTTCTAGCTTTCAATAATATTTTCATAATTAAAGTGATCTATGCAAAACATTTGTTGTTGGATATCATATATCAACCTAGTTTTTTGAAAGGAGCAAAATTTCCCTAGTTGATTTTGAGGATGAAAAGGAAGTACTCATTATCATCGATTCACTGAAAGTTGCAAAGTTACATACCTTTCAAGTACTCTACCAGTTATCTCTATTATACTTCCTGATATGATGCAAAAAATGAAGCTTTTATTCTGGTATCCACTAAAACCTCTTCATTAGAGGTTTTTTGTCCGTTAATCAAATTTGAATCGTAAAATTATTTATGGCCACATATTTGATCCAATTTTTCATACGATGAAAAAATGCCTAGGATATAAGTCACATTTGTCAACCAAACCTCTGTTGATCCTGTTCGTGCTCAGCTTAAAAATTTAAAAAAATAGTGGCAGTCATAAAAGATTATTCTGGCTATGCAATCTTACATTTCCTCAATTAAGCTATAACTCTTAATTCTCAACAAACTCATGCCAAAAAGAAATGGGATTAAACGAATTTCACAGATGGACCTTCAAAAAAAGATAAGAAACTTAAAGCTCTACTATCCCAGCCTCGACTTTAACTGTGGATATTTATATTAGACCAAAAGCAAAATTCGAACTGTATGTACATATCGGGGCATTGAGACGACAGTCAAATAATTTCTTAAGATAAATCTTCAACGGCAGCGAATATTCAATTATGAGAATTCAAGGTAAGCTTTTTCAGTCTATTTACTGATTTGATAGTTTATGGTTTTTGTTTCGCTTTTTTTTTGAAGATACAAACAAAATAGATGAATAAAGTGCTACAAAAGAAAAAATAAATCATTAATCAGTAGTTAAAAAATATGCAAATAGGAGTAATTATCACACGAAAAGTTTAATTTTAAATGCTTAGAAGCGTTATAAGGTAATAGCAGCAAAAGCTCGAATTTATGTGGCTCTTTTCTTTATAATGGAGGAATTCTAAAAGAGTGCGATGGGGTTTTAAAGTGATTTAGTAGTTCCGATACACAAATTGTATAAGTTCGGGCGTATTATCAAGCAAACAAAAATCAGGGAATGGCCAAATAGCAGGTTGCTTCAACTGTGGGCAAATATCACTAGTTCGCTTCATATACCTTTAAAAAATGAATCTACAATTAAAAGTGGTTATTGTATTCCATCTGTCCATTTATACAATTCTTTGGTAAATGGACAATAGCCCAATAGTCAATTAGTGAAGCCAATTAAACCAGAAATGATGATTACCATTTCTAAAAAAAGGATCAAAATTAGTATTCCTAATTGTGAAGTTGGATTAGAAATTGCAGTAATCTGTATATTTCGATGCAGGTGTGCGTGTGCATTAAAAAAATTTGATCGGAATTAACTTGCATTTTCGCCATTACAGTAAGTATATACCAGATTTTAGCCAATTATTTGAAGTTTTTCAAACGTTGTCCGATCGTTTAAGACGAATTCTTGCCACAGTAATATAACAAAATTTTAAGGCTTTATGTGTGTTGAATTTATAGATGATCAGAGGAGGCGTTCGGCGTTTAATTAATGATCTTTGTCAGAAAATCACGTTTCATCTCACTATTTCTCAGAAAGTTTGTTGCTTTTTTTTGTCATATATCGATTTTATACTTTTTCAGAAGACAATGATCTCCTAACTTTTGGCAAATTTTCTGATCTTTTCTTAATCCCAGTGTTCTTCATACTATTTCATTTTTTTATGGCTTTTGATAAACTGAAATAGGGAAACCAAAAAACTTGCTGACTGAAACCAAAAGAAATTACTTACTGTACAGAATTTCTCTTATTATTTCTCCTGGCAGACTGTTCATACGGCATTCGTAAGTTACCTATATTTTACGAATACTATGAACACTATTTATAGTGAATAATATGAAGAAAAACAATAAATAAACTTAAAAAACTTGTGTGCGTATAGATTTAGTTGATAAATTTAATAATAAAATAATTTCTTATTATTAAATACAGAAATCACCTAGTGATGCGATTCTTGCTCCATCTTTTTCTAGTTTTGAGAGAAAATTGTTCATAAAATTGTTTGAGTCGACTTTATTCGTCTTTGCCTTCAACCCATAAGTATTTCTTTTCCATTTATCAAATTATGACCAATTTATTTTGCTTTATTTTATATTTTCTTCTATTATTTCTAAAACGCAAATAATCAATCCTAAGGCTTTTGGTTATTATTTCTGAACAAATGAGTAAATTTGTTTTCAATTTTTGAAAAAATTTTTGAAATTTGAAAATTATACGTTGGAAATTTAAATTGAATTCCTTTTTGTTTCATTAAATTTGAAAGTTGCACAGTTTTCTTCAAAACCTAGAAATCGCTTAATGTAACTATTATTCGTTTGATATGCATAATAAGATGTAGTGCAACATTTCTGCTTAGGTTCGCTCTGCTAGTTGTTATTGCCGTCAGAAATTTTCGCTGGAGAGTCATTTGGTGATACAAATACATATGGATCGCCAACGCCAACATCGTCTTCTAATGAAGGTTTATTCACCAGAAACAGGAGTCCAGCTTTGCCTCGCCATAGCAGTAATCTGAATCAATCACGTCGCATTACTAAATTTATATTAAATTTGCAACTGCAATTCTACGATTCTGATAGATATTTCCGCGTTTCCAACTTTTCATTAAACCTTTCTTATTTTGCTTTTTTTTTTCTTCGATCAATCAAGTTTGATATTAACGAATGAATGGTTTTAACAAAAGTTTACAGTAGTAGGCAATAACTGAATCATTTTTACTGAAAAATCACTTCAAAGTTTGATTGCAAAAAAAGAAATTGTTTTATTTTACTTTTTCTATTTACTTTACTTTTTCTGCTTAAGAAATGCTTCTGTTTGAAAAATGGACATTTTTAAAAATAAATTAGTTTGCATTCTGAAAAATAAAAATAATTTCAATTAAAAGTACCAAAAATTTTTAATAATTTGCTTAATTTTTGATCTGTTTAGTCTTTTCGAAATGTTAAATAAGTTAAAGAAAGAAAATGTTTCGCGCTCACCATTTTTAGCCAAATTCTAGCGCAAAAATTTTTTGCTAGAGAGTAATTGGAATTAGAAGTAGATTGCCAACATTACCTGGTTCTTTAAGAGCAAAATTATTCTTTTCGATAATTGAGTGGTTAAAAGAATAGAACATCTGGCATTAATCTTCTTCCTTAAAATACCAATTTTTTACCAAAAAAGACTATTCTTTAATAATAATTTTGAATATTTTTGAATTTTTGAATTTAGTTCTAGTTTAACCACAATTTTGCTATAATCTTGTTATCTTAATATAATATAAATATTTTAAATAATTTCAGGAATTTCATCAGTGAAAGGTAAAAATGATAAAATGAAATACAAGAAATTCTTTCGTAATACTTTATATCGCTTATATTAAAATGTCACAAAGAGGTTCTCAGATCATTTTAAATCCCTTTGAGAATTCAAGGATTGAAAAGCCTATAACTATTGCTTTAAGAAACAAGTTGCGTTTCAAATTAATCCCTGTAAAAGAACCAGTGGCCATTCCTGAGGAATTTTATCCATTTTGATTATGACGTAAAGATGGATATTTTTGGAAAACATTATCGAAAAGGGCTGGATACGCTCTAATGAATGTTATTAATTGTTGTTAGATTGAAGCTTTTTCATTTTTTTCCAGGGACGATTTTAAAAATTTCTAAATTAAAAGAAAAAACTCTCTTGCAACCACTGTTCATCGTCCATCGATAATAGTCTGCACGTCCCTCTTCTTTGTATTCGTAAACCATATAACCAAGTATTATATAATACGAATCATACTTGTTATCATTAGTATCAGCAGCTTGCAGTATTAAAAAACGGTATTATTATTTTCGATATTGCAAAAAATGACTTCTTCATCTAGAATCATTCATCATTTCTGGTTTAGTTAATTATATTGATTGCTGCAGTCAGACCTCCGAACTTTTTGGTTGCACTAGGATAAGGCACCAGAAAGTCATTTGAGAATAGAAATATAGGAGCCATTCTGGAAATTCTATGCAATGTTCGCTTTCTTAATTTTTTGAAATTGGTTCCCTGTTTATTTCCTGTTTTATTTAAAAACTTATTTCAAATTAATCTATACTTGTCATACGAAATTTTTATAGAATATTTATCATTACTGTGTAATGAAATTTTTTATACAATATTAATTACTTGTCTATTCATCGAAATCTGGAAAATGGTGCGCAAATTCACTAAATTCCTCGCCTCCTTTTCATTTTCTTTCGGTTAAAAATAATTTTTATGAAATTTCTTTTCTAAAAAAAGCATTGCATTCCAAAATAATCAGAATTTATGAAAGCAGTTTTAAGATCTCTATTTGCCAGGTGCACTGTATCTTTATAAATATTTTCGGACTTTTTGAAAAGATTATATATGGTTCTGTAAAATTTACTATTGTATTTTAAGTAGCTAGCGACCCAATTGTACTTCTATCGCCAAGCGACTCTTTGCAAAAAATTTTTTGCACTATTAGCTAGTGGAGCGAGCCTAACCAGATAACCATTTTCTCGCCATTATAATCGTTAAACTTTATTGCCTGCAGCAATCATGTATTTTCAAATTATTATTGATGAATTGCCTTGATTTCTACCGAGTTCTCTTCCTCGTAAAATTAATTAATCGTTGCTACAGCTATAGCTATTGTTGCAATTTTTTAATTTTTTCTATCATAGAAATTTACAAACTTATTCTAAAATACGCCACACCAGTTTATCAAATCTTGTATAATTACATCCATACTGCATCCTTTGTATATTCTTAAATTTTAAACTAATTAAATTTAATGCATAATAAGCAAGCATGTTCAGGTTGCCATGCATGTATTGCTTCAATTATTATTTCTACATTTTGATTTAGTTTCTGCATCTAATAAGAGTAAATCAGTAAAAAACCCGACCAATATTAGGAACTTACGTGTACTTCTATCTCCAAGTGACATCTTTGCCATCTTATCCTAATATCCATATCTTTATTTCATTTTATTTCATTTTGTAGAGCAGTAGAATAAGGCTAACCAGAAAACTGTGATTGCTGTAGAAGAAAAAGAAACAAAAGAAATAAATAAAGAAATAAATACTCTTGAAATTATGCTAAGATATAGTTGAATTATTTTTTATTTTACCATTCATTCTTATATTTTAGTAATTGAAGCACGAGGTTCCGGTCTTTTCCATTTTTTTTGATATAAAAACAGGATAAAGCACGCTTGTATTCAAAAGTATCATTGAATGCTGCAGTGGAATGGGAATTAGGAAATTTTATTTGTGCTGACTTACTGGGTCTCGAAGGATTGGACAACGACCGACGCGACGTGGTGATTTACGACTAATACGAAGTGTACCGCCCGCCAAGACCATATTTAACATTTTCTCCATTTTTAGACATTTTGCAAAAACTGATTGTTGAGAATATTTGTTGCATTTATTTCATATTTTTTAGCTTCATTAATATGCTTAATGACCTTCACTGTGGGTTAATAAATAAGCCATAAGCAGTTCATATTTTTTAATTTCGGTTTTGCTGAATGCTCTAGAAATCATTTGATCTAAATTTGTAATATTCTAGCAAGGGTTTGTTTTTTAATAATTTTTTGATTGATTACTGTTTGATCGATCTTTTTTGCTACATTTAATCAGTTTTTCGATTGTCCATTGACCATTATTTGCCCAGTCATATTCTTCCTAATCTTAAAATTCATTAATTCTCTTCCTTCTAACAGCATGCTCCCTTTGCCTTATTCCACTGATCGTTAAGACGATACTCATTCCTAAGAGAATCAATTTGAAGGACAGGTCTAGTCTGTAGTACCACTCAAGTTTTTCTTTTAATGATAGGTCTACACCTGTCAGAATTCAAGAAATGGACCTATGATTGTTTCACAATAGCAGCAAAATTCTCATAATCTTGTCCTGGATTCAATGTAAGATCATATGGAGGTTTATATTTTAATAGAATTGAAAATAAAATTACTCCACAAAATTTACTCAAAAAAATTGTTTATTCATTTAGTTTGAAATTTTATATTTCGTTTGAAGATTGATTATCATTCGATTTTTTTCAGATTCAAAGAAAGAAATTATTTCTAATCTTTTTGAATAAAATTGCATATTTGCATCGATTCTACCAAATTAACTTTGAATTTAGAAATTATATTTTATATTATATTTGGTAAAATCGATGCAAATTGTATTATATTATATTTACCGTGTTTTCAGTTTTCTGAATGAGATAAAATTATAAATAATAATTTAAAAAATGAGAATATAGACTCGTTTTCTTGCGATTTTCATGCGATCAATAACCCAATCACAAATCGAACAGACCGTAATGCCATATCATTTATCAGTATTTTCAGCATCTGTCCGCTAATAACCCTTATTTACAATCTAAATTAATCTGTTTAATGCACCTGAAAAGTACCATGTTATCGGTTCAATTCATCAAAAAACTCCTGTAAAATGATAAACATCTCGAAATATATGAAGCAGATATCCGTAAATCGCTGCTAAGGAATGACATATTCTATTTTATTTATCCTGATGATATTTCACTTTATTATCGATGTTAATGCGCTCAGTTGGCTGTAAGTTTACTTCATTTAATATCTGAGTTATTTTTATGTCAGTTTCATCTTAAAATGAACAAATGTTATAATTTATTACCAAGTAATGTGATCATTTCTTTACCGATCACTGATTATTTATTGATTTTTCAAATTTACAAAATGAATCAATTGAAAAAAAAGATTGTATAAGAATTTTTCTTCGGGATAAATCAAGTTAATACTGCAAAACACTGCAAAAAATGCAGTTATTCACCCCATTCAACAATATATTCATTTTTTATAAAATTTCATTTCTGGTATCGTCGCAATTTCCAGATATTCCTCGACCATATATTTATTTTATTTTATATTTACTTTATATAAGTGGTTAGCATTCACTATTTCTGGCTGCTTAGAAACTTTTGCTGAGGATGGACGATGAAAATAAGACTAAATTGCCAATAAAAGGCGGATTTCTCAATGATTTACTTAAGGTTTATTCTTGTCCGAAAGTGGTGAAAGCCATCTTATCACTTATATCTTCTTGGCTATTTTGTCTTCTAATTTTCAAATCGCTCAAAACTTTCATCGAAATAGAAATTATTACAGTTCGCTAGATTTGATTAGAATTTATACTTCACCACTTAAATCTGCAGTGATGATAATGCAAGAATTTCTGTAAGAAAATTCAACTCAAAGTATGGAGAATTAGACCGAACTGGTCAATTTATAAAGCAGATTTTCTTCTTGATGAAATCTTATTGCATTGAATCGAGTGTCGTATTAGAACCATTATTATTTCATTTTTACCGAGTTTATGATATATTATAGGTGAGTTATCATCTATAAATAGTATTTGCTGCAGTCAATAATTAAAAACCACAGTGATTTGGTTGTAAATGAAATGACCGAGCATCAAAAGCCATTTCTAATTATCTTTTAACTCTAATAATTTTTCTTCCTTTAATTTTTCACAGCCATTTTAACTTTTTTTTAAAATATCTAGATAAAATGATAGAATCGACGCGTTAATGAAAAATTGCAGGAAATTTTTTGCTAATTTAACTTAGATTTTAATCTTCGGAATGAATGCTATTAGCAAACAATGAGCTGATGATGGCAATTGAAAAGGTGATTAAATATAGTTAATAAATCGTAATAATACTATAAATGGATTGATAAATGGATTACGAGTTACGATAATATTATCAATAATGCTATCATGCACAATACTTGATAATTGTTTCAGAAAATTTATAATGGCAGTTTTATATTGAATATATAAAAATTTATGCTAGAAATGCACCAAATATTCATTCAAAAACACTTCAGTCTCGCCAGTTTTTTTAAAGATCACAGCGAGATTTTTTATTGAGTATAGAATAAATTAAAAGCCTCAAAATCATTCACAATCATTTGAGATTCTTTGTTTTGATTCTTAGTTTAAAAGAAATAATTTTTTTTTCCGATGGATGAACTGGCAAATCGAATGGTCTTATTTTAACTAAAAATTTTCGTTATTTGTGCGGAGAAGCCATCTTATAAAAAAATATAGCTAAAATATAAGAAAATAAGAGAGCATTTTCATCATTTATAAGCTAATTTAGTTTTTAAAAATCTTTTTTAATTCATCAGATCTTGAAAAATGTATAAAAGAAGCAAACTGTGGCATTCGCATAAATATTGATCATGTTGAACGTACTGCCTCTTATTTTCCCGTTTATTCACTATGAGCTGAACAAAGAATACGGTAAACAGTAATTTATTATTCTGACGCGATTCGTCGCCGCTGATTTGGCGATGCAATTGATTTAAATCGAAAAGAGAAAATTTGAAGCAATTCAGCTGAAAAAAAGGCAAATTTCTAAGAAAAATTTTGTAAATCGTAGTTAAGTATTGTTTAGGAAATTATTAAGGAGTAAAGAGAATAAATCGCTTTTAAGGCTATAAGAAATTATTTCAGTATAAAATTTTGTTTTTTGATAAGGATGGAGTCAGAATGATTTTTCACCTTGAAATATTCATTGAACTATAAACGATGAAGTAATAACATTATTTACGATTGATAGCCTCAGTGATAAATGGTAATAAATTATGACGAATAAAACTAATGCCAGATGCTGTTTGATTTCAGTATCGTTACGACCCAGATAATAACCTAAATTTTAATTTCGATGTGGAGGGTATAAAGGAATCATAGAAAATTATATTAAATTGTATCTCTCTCATCCCCTATATGTGATATGGATCATCCATAATCTTGTTTTCTCTACCAGAGCTCTAGGAGCTTAAGAATTCGTCGCAATATCTTAGCAGTTCCTCTTCTTGAAAGAGATCTGTAATTTTCCTCTTGGGTTCTGTTGCAGCCATTTTTCCATTTATAGGCCTCACAAGGACTCTACCTCTGGTATTTCCCTAGATATCTCTTCTGGTATCTCTTTTTTCTTCGTGATTTGTCATTTGGTATTGTCATATTCTATCACCAGTTCTGATTTTTGATTCTTACCTATTACCACGATATCTGCTTGATTCGCCAGTGTTTATTTGCCTGCGTTGATGCAGAAGTCTCATAGGATCTTAGTCTTGCTATTCTTTACGATTTTCTGGTGAACTCTGGTCTTAGAAGGATGGACCTGTAGACAATATCAGATACTCTGGTTTTCCTATTGCAATGTATCTTGTTACGCCCTGTTCGGATAGTTTCTGAAACTTTTCTGCACAGTCTACACCTTAAACCCTATCTGATGTGACGTAAATATCTCTGCTTCAATGAATCTAGTACTCAGAGGTTAATAATTGTTCTTGTACTGCCTTACTATTGGTAGAATTCCTCAATACTTCAATATTAGCAATTTCATCTATCGGTGGTATATCCAACAGGGAATCTTGCTTTGCCGTTGCATTTTGTTTAGATTTAGTTTTCTTTTAGATTTAACCTTTTAAGTATTCCTTCGTCTTTTGGTTCTACCTTTTTTCCGGGCTGGTGTGCACACTTTGGGTAATAGATTTGGATGGAAATTTTCGTGCATATGAAAAATATCCAGGGCCAAATTTGATAATCACTTGTGCGAGCTATTCTGAGTTGAGTTCAGATGTCGTTTCCACAGTCCCATTGAGTTCTCGATAAAGATCTTTAGAATCCTATTGACTATATATAGCCAGAAATTCAGCCATGTGTGGAGCGTTGAGTCATAGCCTCCCCTACAGTTAACCAATGTTTTTATCAGAATTGTTCTGTTATAAAACTCATATAATGGCTGAAATGGTTTTTTAGCATGATAACTAAGGTATCTGATAATACTTTTCACGTTTTGGAGAGGTAGGTTATGGGTCAGCAGTTAGACGTTCATGATCATGTGCCGTCCTTTCCTAAATTAACCAGTCTGGATGAGAGCCTGTCGCATACAGCTGGTTCATCTACATTATTAGGAAATAAATATATAAATATATGTTATTATATAAAAAATACATTACAAATATATAAATATATAATACAATGTATAATATAATATATAATATATAAATACAAATATATAAAAAAAATTACATCTTTCTACAAAATCTTTCTATCTTTCTACAAAAATAAGAAAATCTTTCTACAAAAATAAAATAAAAATTAATTATAAAAAATAAAAATTACTTTTTTAGGTAAAAGATAAAAGTAACAGGAATAATATTAATATTCGAGAATAATAATCATCGAAACCTATGTATTTTATTCAGAAATTTTCCTTTTCCAGATTTCCGTAGGCAAAATTCACTGAATAAAAATCCTTCAATTTCAAAAAAAAGAACTTTTGCTTAACTTGACAAAAATTCTTTGAGCAATGGAAAAGAAAAAATTTTATACAATAAACAATAATTGATATCACTTTCACAGCGTCGAAGATGGTTTGTAACCAATGGCTTATAGTGGATAAGATAGCCGAGTGTATAGTGATGAAATATATTTTAGATCAATATGTTGAGAGGCAAGGATTTCTAACTCTTAATCCGAGGAGTATTGGCAATCTGTGGTTTTATCGCCTAGTGGTTTCCTTGCATGAATTTTTTGCCAAACTAACAACAAGCAGAATGAGCCTAACCAATTTTTTACTTACATATTATTACTTTAAAGAAATTCATTGAAGTGCTAATAATAATAGTATTATGACAAAGAAATTATTATTCAGTGCTTTTATTATAAAAATCACTGGAAAGGATTATTTTTGCAAACAAAATTTTTCTTATTATAGTAATGCTTTAATTATAATTATTGTTATAAGAATACCACAGCTATTCATGACTTTGATCTCCAAAAATAACTTATTTTTACCTAAAATTCAGATACGTTTTTCTCAAATGATTTTTTATTAAATTCCCTTTATAACAGGGCACTCAGTTTATCAAGTTCTCGCATTGATCGTTTGCATCCACGCTCGTCATGCAGACATTTGCATGGAATGAATCGAAAGCAGGTTATTTTGTATTATTTTAAGATGTTCAGTATTGATTCACTACCTTGTTGCTGATTGATTCTTTGTATGTTGTTACTGATTTTGATTTTTCTAATAAATATATTGAATCTGAATTAAATCGTGCATAGATTTTATGAATTAAAAAAGATTTCGATCTTTTCAGTTATTTAAGTGATAAAAACAATTTTTTAGCGTTAAATAGTCATTTTCTTTTTGCTATCCTTAGAAGAATAGTGATGTCTATTTTTAAAGATGCGATTCTGCCGAAGAAATATAGAACAAATGGATAGCATTCGAGCCGGAGCACGAATCGCATATAATGAATGCCAGTTTCAGTTCCATACTAGAAGGTAACTCGTATCCATAAATTTTTTTCCTATTTTTTCCAAGTGGAGAATTTTTTAAAAAAATCGAAAAGAGCAACTAACATTTATGGCGCTAAGATTAAAATGTAATTTTCAAAGTGTTTTATTCGATCAATATTTACCCTATCCAGGTGGAATTGCACCTTTATCAATTCGACAACTAACGAAGTTTATGGCGATTTTATACTGCGAGAGGGAACAAGGGAAGCTGCTTTTGTCCACGCAATATCTGCTGCTGGTGTCGCGTATCGAGTAACTAGGTTCGTTAAAAATATAAGTATATTAGTGCAAGGAAAATATCCATAAGGTATGGCTGTGCATTATGAAATTTGTGAATACTTGCTAAATGATTTAAATTTGCGTTATTGTCAAGGTTTTATTAATTAGGGGCAATTGCCGATATTTTTTAAGCAAATTATTTTAAGAAGTACAAATTTTTTGTATATTTTAGGGATTGTTCGAAAGGTTTGATAGATAAATGCGGTTGTGATCAAAGTGTATTGCATAAACGAGATGATCAATTCAGCTGGAATGGATGTTCGGACAATGTTCGTTATGGGATTGCTGTCTCCAGAGCATTCGTCGATTCTAGTGAAAAAGGTAGAAACCAAACTATGCAACGACGAATTATGAATCTGCATAACAATAACGCTGGAAGACAAGTAAAAATCTTCATTTTTTTTTTAATTTTAAAGCCTACTAATTTGTAAAATGTGCTAAAATTTTTTTTTTCAAATTTGGGGTTGAAATTTATATCTAAAATATAATCCATTTTTATAATATGACATTATGTCATTTCTTAATTTTTTAAATATTTCACAAAAAATTTGCAGCCATCCACTTTTTTTGTTTATACAAAAAAGGCTAAATAGATATAGAGCCCTGCCCTGTCAAACTAATAAATTTTTAAGAAATTTGGGCCGTGTGGGCAGTTCACCTGTACACTCCTCCTAAGATTTCTAACCTAATCGAAGTGATAAGCGTTCACCAGCTACCTTTTTTTAATACATATATGATGTACGTTTTTGGAATTGCCAACTTACTGGGTTTCATTGAATCCCATAACCCGAAATAATTAAGGAAAAAGTGGATTTACAATATAATATGCTTAATATATTTTTCTAAATAATAAATTATCTGTGGTTATAAATAAAGATTGTGCATCGAAAAAATTGAAAAAGTAATCTAAATTTCATTTTGTTGTTTCTTCTTTTAAGGAGCAGAATATTATTATTTAGGTTATCATTTCGAATTCTCTGGTCAGTTTTCCTTGTTCCTTGTGGGAATAAGTTTGTCACTAAAAAAACCCTCTATGATGCCGGGAAGTACTGCGCTTCTATTCACTAACTTCCAGGAAAAATTATTTCAGTTAGTGGAGCGAGCCTAACCAGATCTACTCATTTTATTTATTCTGACTTTATAATAGGATTATATAATCGTAATAGTTCTATGGAATAAGATCAAATAACCAGTTAGCTTTAAATGGAATGACTTTTTACACTTTGAGGAAAGAATGAAATATTAGGAAAGTTTCTGAACGCAACCAGTTCACTGCAAAAAATGTGAAAAAATTAATAACAAATCTAGATTAATTAATGAATGGAAGATTTTCGCGAAAGCATTGAGAAAAGTTAAGAAATGAGAAAACTCCGTTTTATTGATTTTAATATTTATATTATTTTGAATTTTTAATTTTTATTTGTAAGTTATTTTTTGAAAATTATTAAATGCTGATTTAAAAACGATATTTTTAATTCGAAATCTTTTTTTTCTGAGTGATTCGGATTTGATATTCGGATATTCTTTTTTTGCCTGGAAATTTTTACTCAGAATTATCGCATAAATCCATTTCAGCACATTAATTTGTTTAATGAATTCTTCATATAGGTGCTTGAATCGAATATGAGAAAAGAATGCAAATGTCACGGATTAAGCGGCTCATGCGATATGAAAACATGTTGGGAATCTATGCCGACATTTAGGTTTGTCCTTTTTTATTCTGCTCTTTTCAAAAATTAAATTTATCCAAAATTTAAATTTTTAGGAATTCTTTCAATACAGTTTTTTTTGAACTGCGATATTCAATTTAAAATTTTATTTCAATTAAAACTATTTGCAGCTTTAAAAATAATAAAAATTGTAAATTACAATAAAACTTAAAAATAAAAGAACACAATATGTATTAAAATTTGTATTATATAGTTTACACATTATGCATTCGATGCCAAATAAAAAAAACTAAAAGTTACACTTAAAACAGGCAAAAGATAATTTTTCTAAAAAATTCCATTAATGGTTCTAATCAATTTTCTTAGTTAATTAGTGCTTAGAAATTCGAATGACGAAGTAATACAAATTTTGATTTTCCAGGGAAGTTGGCTTAATAATCAAAGATAAGTTTGATGGTGCAACGGAAGTTGATATCATCGATGAAGAAAATAAACTTGTGATGAATAGGAAAAATGTTCAATTCAAGAGGCATACCAAAGCTGATCTCGTTTGTTTATTTTCCGTATATCTCGTTTGTTTATATTCCGTATAGACTAACAGTTTAAAAAAAATTAGCTGAATGGGCTCATATAAGCTGATCTGATCTGATCGTTTCAAGAAAGAATATACCACTTAGATCACTCTTAGATCACCTTAATTAACTGTTCCTAGTACTTTTTACATATCGGCATTACGTATCGATACGAAAGCCTTGTAAATCATATAATTAGGTTTATTTGGATCCCTCACCGAATTATTGCGAGCCCGATCCAGAAAGTGGTGTTCTCGGTACACATGGCCGTCTGTGCAATGTTTCGTCATATGGCATCGATGGTTGCGAATTGGTAGGTAATATTTAATATAAGATTAATCCTTTTCCTTTATCTGATTTTTTATCTTCAAGTTTTGTCTTTTGAATTTTGGCAAAAGCATTGTGCCAACGCAATATATCTTTTTATAAGCTAGTCACAATTATTAAAAATATTCCATACTTGTCGCAAAACATATTTTTCTTAGTTCGGTTTCTACAACTAGTAGGGATAAATCTACATTAAAAAATCAGAATCAGAATAATCAGAATTAACCGGCTCATTGCCTTTTTCATTTTTCTATTGGTAAATGAAGCTGGCCGGGGATTATGGTTGCCAACCGTTTATTCAGCTGAATTAGAATTTTTTTTATTCAAATATTAATGAATTCTTTATAAAATTCTTTATAGCTTTGCTGCTATCGAGGATACGAAATACATGTACGAAAGATCACTGATCGTTGCAACTGTAAATTTTATTATTGTTGCCGAGTAGAATGCGAACAATGTACCAAGATTGTTGAGGATAATATCTGCAAATAAGAGGCACAATACCAACATGCAAATGGCCATTATAGCTTGAAATACAATCGTACAGGGTGTCCAATATGAGTAATAAGGGTTCTCTTATAGGAATTTTAGCTGAGGCTAATTGGAACATTTTTATCAATGACTTATACGGATATCCAAACATTTGTTTCTATTATATTAATGCGATATGCAAATAACTTCTTATTTTTGCTAATAAGGATGTAAATATTTGTAAAATAACTTCAAAGGCAAAACAAAAACTTTGCACATATTTGCCAAAATATGATCCAGAAACTATATATTTATGGACATTTCCTTTCTGTGAGCACCCATTAGAGCAGATAAATTTTCAATTTTCTGCCCACAAATGAGAATTATTAATCTTTTAAAAAAATATGTGAAAATAGTTATTAAGTTCTTCTTTTCTTTTATTCCTTCGTTTGAATTCTAAAATTCTGCGCATTTACAGTAAGTGAATGAAAGTATGACAGTGAATGTATGAAAAGAAATAATGTATTCTGGATGTCCATGGGCACAATATTTTTTATATCCCAAGGTGCTTAGCTTATTTGTTAAGATACTAACTTATTATTTATTAATCTACGTTAAAATACTTATTTCGTTTATTTACTTATATTTCTCTGTGGAAACTTGTTCTTGAAGTGTTTTGAATAGATCACTTCGACTTATTGTTATTAAAAACATATATTTCATTCACTTATAGAAAGAAAAATGAATTTCTCTTGAATCTCTTGTCAGTTCCTATTTGTTTAATTATTTCACCTGTTTCACCATTGATAGGCAAAATAATTATTTTGTAGCTTTTCAATTTGCAGTCGCTTTTATCCAGTTAAAATGCTTTCTAATTTGTTTTCACGACAAGATGACAGGAATTTATAAAAAATGAGTGGTGAAATGCATCGATCTCTTCAGGAATACTAAGTATAATTAATCAGTTTCCGGTTTTTATCACTGATCTCAAATTACGATGTATTTGACTGGTCGGCTGGGCCTCCTTCATTTATTGCCCATGATTTTATTGGCCAAGTGGTAATGAATACTTTTTTTTTCATGTTGCATATTTGCCAACATTCTTCTTAAATTGTTTATTTGATGTTTCTCATTACAAATGGTCTCAAATTTGTTATATTGTCTTTTATTTTTTTTTATTCAAGATAATTCACTTCGTTTGATAATTTGGTCAATTTAGATCACTTTTAGCAATCTTTTTTAGCCTTGAATAGTGAAATAAATTCTATGAAAACTCAATAATAGGTTCTGAAAAAATAAAAGTGGTGTTCATTGTTGACAAATTCGACAATTTTTGTAGGAAGAATAAGGTGCCAAAAATATGGACAGAGGAATAAAAAATTAATTGAATTGAATACGACCAGCGGACAAATTAAAATAAATTTAAAATTTATATTATTTATAATTCTCGATAGATTGTAATTTGCTATTTCGATATAATTATGAAAAAAACAAAGAATCGACATATCTCGGATTTTACATTTGATGACAGATTTGCTTTCGCAGAGGCATCTGTAATATTTCTTTCGCGTGAAGCTGCGCTTTTGGATATATATGTTTACAGAGAGTGAAAAACATGTCAATGTAATATTGTTGTCAATCGCAGTAGAGGCATGATTTACCATGGACGTCAATGAATTTTCGAAATTTTACTTTTTCTAAATACCTATTATTTTCGTGTCGACAACAACTTAAAAATTAAAACAGCGCTTACAATCATAAAATTTTGGATGATACATCCAAAAGAATGAAGAGAAACTCATATTATGGTAAGCATCACTATTCATGATTTTATATAATGGCATATCTTTTCATTTCAAGAAGCTGAAAAATTTGTCTCGGAAGCCTTCAAATTAGATTTCAGGTTTTCCTAAGCGGCAACTTGAATCGAGGAGTGCAAGTTAACTAAGGAATGATGGCATTTGCGATTTTATGCTTCTTGGGATTTTGTTTTTCATTACTGGCCTTGTTAACGTAAGAGATTAAATTCTCGAAGGGATAGTATTAATCAATAAGTAAGATGCAAAATAGCAATAAAAATTAATTATATAAATATATGTTAATTTTAATAATTAATATAATTGATTTCGATAAATAATTTTAATAATTAATATAAATATAATAAAATATACCAATTTTTCAGAAAAAAAAGATCTTGAAACTCCATTTCACAAGTAGAAAAATGGAAGCAATGGCACAAATTTTGTGCAAATAGCTTGATACATCTGACTGATGAAAAAATTTAAATTCAGAAAAAGCTTGAATAGAAAAGTTACATGATACAAGGGTGGCAGTATGGCCGAATATGTATTGCTTATTGCTTACAGACTAACCAGAAATATTGGGCGCTAATCACTTATATCACAGAGAAATATTTCATAGTCGTTTTCAGCTTAAAAATTGACATTTATGTGCTTATAATTACTATTCTTTAGTTTTCACCGTACGAGAACAACAATAATAAACGATTCGTTCAGATCACATCATTTACATCACTGCATTTGTTGCATCCAATAGCCGATGATTTCTTTTGTCCTTAAGCACAAAAGATTGAATTCATGCAAGAAACACAACGAAATTCTTACTCTTTTTTGTGCAGTTTTTTTTGCATAAATTTATAAAAAAATTCCGTATAATTCATATTATAGCTTTTTTTTTCTTTTTCTTCTACTAAAGCACTGACTAATTTCCACGAAATTTTATTTAACATCGTAATTTTATTAAATGATTTCAATAATTGTAAAAAAAGTGGCTCGAGAAACATGGTCAGTTTTTTCTTTACTACAGCAAGACTGAACATAATATAACAATATAGAAAGCAGGAGAAAGCTATACTCACCATGCTCATAGGCGAGGATTGAACCACCAATTTTCTTGAAAATAATGAATTCTTGTGAATTATCATCGGTTAGAATTAATATGCTAAATATCATTGAGCGATATAATAATGGTATGCGAAAGTCGATTGATGGAAGTACTCGATTCAGGACTTTGTTTCGAAAAGTTGCTAAAACTGCATGACGGATATCGAAATCATCTTGGAATACCTGCATTTTATATAAATGAAATATTTTTCGTTTTTGGGAGATAAAGGAAATTTCCGAATCACTCTTATGTATAATGCATTAAAAATTTTTAAAATGAACCTTCAGTGGGTACAGTATAGCTTGTAAAGTAGGGATAATTTTCGAAACAGTTTGTTTCCAAAGAGCACTAAGAATTTCACTATTGTCAGCATTCAAAATAGATTCAAGTTCATTCGTAGCGCACCCGAATGCTTTACATGCATTGTTCTCCACTGCTGCAGGCACAGCTGTCTATAAAGCTGGTTTTCCATTGACTACTTAAGGAACTTTATTTTAAAAATCCTCACCTTTACTGGTTAAACTCGCTCCACTGGCTTGTGGCATTGGGCAATATGCTAGGGAGTCCCTTGGTGATAGAAATATAGAGAAGTACCCAGCATCACCCGCATTTTTGTATAGATTTATTCCTGCGGGGAATCGAAGCTCAGCATCGGTGCTCCCAATTGAGCAACAATCCACTGAACCATTCTATCCCCACTTAAGGAATTATTAGAAAAAATATAAAATATCTAATATTCGATAGCTTTATATGGCATAAGCATATATAAAATTTTTAAAGGCAGATATCCGTAAAAGTATGTCTGGAATTTTTTCTTGTAATTTATTTGTAATTTATCAGCCACATAAAGTAGTCAAGTTATTTATGGATTTTTGGGAAATCAATAATTTTATTAACCTCAGTTAAAAAATTTATTAATCCGGCTTTCGCAAAACCATTCATTTCCATGATATTCATAGCACATAGGTGGCGAGTTGAAGCATCAAGTTCGAAACCCTGTAGGCTAATAATTAGTTGAAGATGGCATCTGAAAATAAATCTATGTTATAATCCACTGCTGGAAAAATAAATCAAAAACTTTATTTAAACGAATATAAATTGACTTTCAAAAGGTACCTATAACTATTCAATTAATAAAAAACGATCGCAAGTATGCTTTATTTAGTTAATAGAAAATTTTAATTCAATATTATAAATAGTTAATCATCTTGGACTAATTCAAATTACATTACAATTACACCAGTTGTATTTTTTTAACTTGTAGTTTCGCTTGTTATTCATTCAATATCCAAGGATCACTCACTTCCAAAAATCAGAATAAAAATCTGAAAAATTGTCAATAGGAAAATTATTTATGCTTCGTTTCGACTGTTGCAATATTACTTGTTTTGCATGATTTTTACGCGGTGCGTAGCCTACAAATGAAATTTATCATATTTTGAAATATCCATTTTACCTGACACATTTATAGTTTAACTTTCAACTCTGGAAATTTTATTTAAAATACAGGCATAGCTCGTTTCATTGTACTTTGCAGCACCAGAATTAAAGATCCCGAATGAAAAACGACTAATAGTTATAGATGGCCGTCAGAAACGGCGAATGCAATGGGGAAAAGAAAAGTTATATTAAAAGAAATTAAATGGAAAGAAATAATTGCAGATATGGTGGAAATAGCAGAGGAACTATGATTAAAGGGAAGGCTGAAGAGTGTTGCAATTTCATGATAAACTTTTAAAAGATGAATTATTGTTTCTTAACGATGTGCAAAGAAAGTATCTTCTTGAGGTCTTCTGGGAATCCGCTTGCGATGAAGTATTTTGAACTTGTTAGAATAAAGCAGTGGCAGAACTTGAGAAAATATTGATCTTTGAAAAGTTCTGCTATAAGCAAAATTCTAATAGCATTACATGCTAAAGAGGAATTTTTTGTGAAAATCCAATAAATGCATTAAACTTCATTGTTCTCTAATTCCAAGAAATTTCTATAGCCGCCCCAACTTTTAGTAACAATCAGCAGTCAGTTTCAAGGCAAGACCCTCCACCACCAAAAAGATTATGGTGGAAACTAAAAAGTTAGCAATGGAGTATTATTTAAATAAGGCATTACATTGTTTTATAATCCTATTGCAAACTTAATAGACCACCGCATAGTTTAAAATATTATTGGGAGAAACTAAAAATTCGCTTTACTGCGGTATTATGGAATTGACCTGCAATAAAGCGAGGTATACTGAAGAAAAATGCAGTTTTTGTTGATTAAATTTCTAGTTTTTTCATTTTATATATTTTTCAACACGAAGAACTAATTTCCTGAAAATAATTAAAAATATTTAAGACTCATTGAGAAAATCCGACTGGTCCGATAAGCGAGTCTAATCAGAAATGGTGAGCGATGTTAGGAAAACGAAAAAATGTTAGGAAAACAAAAAAGAAAATTATAATAAATAAATAATTCAAAGATACAAAAATGTGAAAGAAAGAGAAACCAATTGAAGCTGAATGAAGTGATCCGCTTGGTATGAACATGTAAAACACATATATAATATGTATATATATATACAATATAATAAATGGCACGTCGATAGCGCACACGCTGAAGGTTATAAAATTACTTTAGCTTCGCTCATTCCTTATCAAATTTTTATCAATTCCTTATCTTAAAAATTTCTATCATTGGTTTGCTATAAATTATAATTTAATATTTAGTTGCTTTAAGTCTAAAAATCCTTTTTGTCACTCATAAAAGTCGACAGATTAAACGAATTATGCGATTTTTGTAAATAAAGGATTAAATGATTGTGCAAAAAGAGAAATAAGAGAAATAAAACTAGTGAAAACAAAAATAAAAATAGTATAATAAGTTGAATATTTCTATGATAACTAATTTTTAAAGGAAAAGAGAATCGTTCATTTGAAAGTTCAATAATTTTAATTTATTTTAAAAAAGTTAAAAAAGTTCAATAATTTTAATTTATTTCAATTTGTATATATACAAATTGAACTCGGACTGAAGAGACCTATATTTTAATCCTTAAGTGATCCTATAATGAAAAAATCTAATTCTATAACCTGCTGATGCAGCCAGAAATTTATAGTACGAGAAAAAATGAGAAAAGGCTTAGCTAAAATGGAATGATCCTTATTTATAAGAGCTATTGTCTAAGCTAAAATAATCTACAATAATGTCATTGTAATCGTTGAGCTAGGAATCCTATAAAATTTACACGGAATCCTAAAATCTCAGCTAAAATTTGCAACATTCACAACTTGAACCTCAACAGCATTTGATAAATAAATGGGACAATTGAAGAAAAAAATTTTTTCTAACAAATGCTATTTTTCCAGCTTTTGTGACAAATTTGTACCATCAATCGACTTCATTACAGTTACACCTGTAAATAAAAAAAAATTTTGTAAATTTCAGTTTTATTTCGATTCTTTTAATGAAAAAACAACATACACATTAATCAAACATTGAATAAGAAAAATGCAGGTGGTTGGACGATACGACTCGGATTTTTTTATGACAAGTTTGCTTCTGATGAAACTTTTTATTCTTCAGAGAGTTTATAGTCAGTTTGAATTAGTTTAAAAATGAAATAACTTAATAAATTCAATCACATGTTAAATCCAGCCGATTTATTTAATCCCTATGCTAATTTAGCACAGCAGATGAGTAGGCTCGCATCATGATCAAACTTTCACTCAAAGATTTCTCTAAATCTGCTGGAAGATGCCCTTTGAGAGACAAATAATTTACCTGGAATTATATGGTAGTGATAAGCTTTATTGAGTTGCATTTATTCAAAAGAACTGGCACAAAAAATCAAATAGAAAAGTACAGTACATCATGTTTTTTTAGTAAACTTACTATAAAAATTTATAGTTAAAAAGTAACGAAATCGTGATTTAAAAATTGTGGAAATTAGTGATTTTTCATTCTCTTATCACTTTCTTTCTCTAAAAAATTGCACTGGGGTTGTAAATTCCAAATCAAATATATACATTATGAGTGCTAAAATTCCGACCAGCAACAGGACAATTACTATAAGAGTAAATATAGCTTCGATATTCTTAATTTTTGTGCTAGCTGTAGGTAGTGCAGTTTCCGTTTCTTGGGTTGTTGTTTTATTTATATTTATGGTTTCAATTGGGATATTCATTATAGAAGTTCGTGCAGAAAAAGTCGCAATCGTTGTTGATCGGTTATCAAAAACCACTGAAATATTTTTTTTTAATGTTAATTTGACAAATCACACGTAAAATTTTGGCAAAATTTAATTATTATTCTAATTATTCCGAAAAAGATGTGCAACAAAAGGTTAATATAAAAATATCAGCAAAAATATTAATATTAATTAATTAAATATTAATTTTTTATGAATTTATCATTTTATCATTTTATGATATAATATTATTTGCGCTCGCTAACCAGAGTAATTACTCAAAACCGCCGAAGCAAACGAGAGACTTTCCGTTAGCATTTTGTACGTACGACGAGATGTCACAGCTGCTTGGAATGTGAGAAAGCTTATTGTTGCAAACCAAGCAATCCACTGTCCAAACTCTTTCTAAATACTGCGTGGATATGGCCTGTTTATCAGATGTCCGTCTTCCTTACTTTGGATCTCGAGCAATTACTAAATCTGGCTCTCAGCAAAAACTATATCATTGTGGTGTTTCGAATAACACGTGGCGAAATGGCCTAGCGCTTATCATGTCTGAAAAGGTACATTCCGCTCTAAATGAATGACCTTATGAGCAACCAGTAAACAAACGAAAGCTCTACTTTTTTTTCGGCCATTCGGTCATCAATACACATGCTCCAAATTAATGAGATGACCGCGATAAGAACAAGTTCTTCAACTGCTAACTACATCTCTACCTAGATGCGACATAATCATAATCGGGGAGACTGTAATGCGCACTTAAGTCATGATGCCATTACGACGAATTTGGCAATGGGCAAATATGGCTTAGTGGTCTAGCGCGCCAATAAAGAACGTCTTCTTCGTTTTGCCCAACACCATGAACTCTTTGTTGCTAATAAATTCTTTCGGCATAAAAGAGGACAACTCGTCACTGGAACGCTCTGGATAACCAATCCGCTAGAAGAGTTGTGTACTTGACAGTCGTTCTTATCAGAGCGCTGAAATTGCATGTTATGGTTTGAGCGAAGATTCGTATAAAACTGAAAAGTCCCAAGATCCCAAGATCTTTCAATATCTCAAATTAAAAGACCAATAAGCACATTTCATTATTGAAACACCTCTATAAAATGAATGTCAATGACATCTCTAGAAAGGTGAATGAATACTGGTCCCAACTAAAGACTACAAAAGTCAGCCATTTCTGTAGGGTATACTAGTAGAAAATGCGCTAGTTGGGTGTCAGAAGCAACTGTCCAACTGCTATCTGAAAAAGCTGCCAAATCTCTCGTATGGTAAAAGAAAATAATGCCAGAAAACTGGAGGAAAGCAATTCTGTCTCCATTTCCTAAGAAAGGTATGTAAAAGACATACTGCGACATTCACCCGAGGAATCAGTCTACTAGACATCTTCAAAAAAATTTTCACCTCCCTCCTGCTAACCTCATGTGCAATACGAGATAGCAGGATTCAAACCGTGGTTGTATTGACCAGATATTCACGCTAAGAAGAGTGCTGGAATATCGATTGGAATACCAGGAATCCATCATCATTTGCTTCATCGATTTTGCAGCTGTTTCTGATTCAGTTGATAGAACAGACTCTGGAGAATGATGGAGAATGTGGCTGTGGCTGTGTTCCAAAGAGATCATTCGATTTATAAAGGCTTATTTTATCACCATACAAAAGGTCTATATATATGAAGTTGATAGATCCTTTCGAAACAAGAACTGCTAACAAGGCTGCATCCTCTTCTCTGCAATATTCAATTATGGATAATGGACATCGCTTGTCGACACTCAACAGGTGTGCAAAAACATGGTATCACGGACCTTAAATATTGTAGTCCTTTTGATGATGTAGTCCTTTTTGTTGACAATTAAAATGAAATGCAAATAATGTTAAACAATGTTTCAACAGCGAGAATTGAAGAAACCAATGTAAAAAAACGAAAGTGTTTTCGTCTTATATACGAGAAGGTGATGAAATGGCTCTTTTAATCAGTTCATTGTCGATTGAGGAAGTTTGCAGCTTTAAACACCTTAGACCTATTCTAATCACAAATAGTCAGGCAAAAGACAAAATTACAACCTGGATAATGATAGCTAGAACTGCAATGGTGAGAAGAGTGGAGAATTGAGAAGCTATGAATCTTTGACCACTCATCTCTAAAGTATTTTGGAGGTTCGCAGAGTGGATAAAATCGCATATGTTTGCATCCACTCTCCCGCAAATGCCACTTGCATTAACAGAACCAGTACCATCACACCATCTTGTTATAATTTCTGATGAATGGCATCAAAAACGAGGTAGTCCAATCAAAACCTGATACAGTCAGGAAAAAATTTATAGGGAGGCCAGCGATATATGGATTTCGACGATGGAAAAAAGAATGGTTTCTCTCACTGTCGACAATGGCATCGGACTGAACTGCTTAAGGACGTCTTACCCTAAGAAGAATTTATCATTGATTTACTATAATGTTGCTTATCAGAGTAAATAAAAGATTTGTAACAATTAAAGAATTAGGTAGACAATAGGAAAAATTTTTACTAATTCGCGGCATTCCAATCGTGAAAACAAGTCCAGTTATGTTATCATTACAGTGAACAACACTTCGAAAAGAAGCAAAAAGCCGAATTGGATAACCATGCACCGCTTTATTGAACCGATATTCTCCAATGTTTGTCTCTTCTTCATATGTTACTGTAAAAACGGACATCATGGCTTATCATGCTCACGATAAAATTATTGTCAAAAAGAAGTGAAATTTCTGAAAGGGAAGATAGATTGGAGAAGAATTGAGAAATGAAGTACAAAAAGCAGAAAAATCCGCAAGCCTAATCCGAAAATTAATCACTGAAAACACGATTACTTTGGCCATTTCTATCGAACAAAGCGATTATCGCTCGAAAATCTCGACATTCCACTGGTTTCCCATCAGGAAAGTTTTTATCCCATCCTTTCGGTATGTAAAATGCTAATTTCTTCTCATGAAGGTTGTACAGGTATATTCCGTATTGTTCATTTTCTGGTCGTTCATCGTAAACAATGTGGTAACGGTAAGAGGATGAATTAGTACAGTCACTTGAATTCCTCACTGGATGTTCGATAACTGAAATGGTGGAGTAAAATTTGGTCAGTTCCGTAGAATTTTCACTGATAATACATTAAATATGGTTAAAAGTTTTCAATATTTGACTGGAAGAGGTTATATGAAACATTGTTCGTTTAATAGTCCAAGCTCCATATCCAACATATCGTTAGTTAAAGATATTTGCTGGGGAATTTGATAGAATTTGATTACACGGTGAGTTCCATTGCCATTTCCTATTTCAATCGCTATCCTTTCGATCATTCCAAACTATAATATCCGAA